GTTAGACGATGTCTTTCCTTATGCTTAAAATAGGTGTTTGCTAAAAATAAACGATTGTCTGAGCATAGTTGCAGCAGACGATCACCATTATCTTTTCGCTGAGCCGAAATACCAAAATACCCACCTAGATTTCTTTCTGTTTGGTTTAAACTACCTAATTGGGCATTAAAGTCACTTGCTACAAGTACTATGTCTGAACGTTTAGCTTTATGAAGAAGTTCGGAAAGCTTTCTGTAGAAGTCATCTTCAACTTCATCAGAACGGCAGTCAGTGGGAGCGTAGGCAGAAACAACGAAAAGGCAACGACGTGTTTCCTTGTCCTTTCGAGTTCTTACGGAGCCGTTTAGCCGAACAGCGCATAGACGACTGTTAACGGGGATCCACTCTAATTGCGCTTGTTCCGCCCCCATGTTTAGTGTTATGCCTACACCTGCCAGTCCACGAGAACTAGCCATCGGGTCGCCAGATACACGAAGGGTGTATATCGTCGGCTCTCCATTTTGCCGAGGTGAAGTCAAGTGAGTGACCACGTTAGGATCCTGTATGCGTGTTTCGGAGACACAGCATACATCAATCGTACGAGATTCTAAGGTTTTAGCCAAGGAAGCCTGCTGACCGATTTGGCATAGTGTGCGTACGTTGAAGGCTCCAATGTGTAGTTTGGAGCGAGGTTTCAGTAGACCTGGGACAGTGTTTTGCGCACAAGAATCGTTGGCTATGGTGACACTTGAGGAGGAAGTCAAAAGAGGGAGTTTAGATTTGAAAATCGATGTAGGAGGAATAATAGGAATTGAAGAGCGAGGTTGATTATGAATACAGTTGTCTTGAGTGCTGTTAGAGTTTTGAGGGCGGTTATCACTTCCCGGTTGCCCACACTGTGGAAAGGTTCTGCTGGAAGTGCCTGAAGAGGAAATTGGATTAGGGGTGGTCTCAGTGACCTGAGAGCGTGACCGCAGTGCCCAAGGGACAGCTGCTTGAGGTCGGTCACACACGACCTTTTTATGAGTAATTTTTGTGTTAGCTCCGTACTTGTTGAGACTTTACCGCCGGAGACGGATATCCGTGGGATGAGGCGAGGTGTGCATTTTTATGGTCGACCTTTTCTAACCCCACCTCTCCTTTTGGGAATGCAGCATCGCTGTTATGCTGGTTGTCTGAAGGAAACACCTTACTGCTGTCACACCCCTGTACAGTCAGCAGTACGAGATCGCCATCGGACCTTGGTTTTGTTGCTTTTAGTCTTACCACTCTTCAACCGACCTGTCTGGCATGGTAGGACCTTGAGGAACGGTTGTTTCAGCCAGTATAGCTCAGTTGCTTGATCACGATAGGCAAGCCGGACCAACACGTCAAGGTAGCAAATCCATAATTCATATTCATCTTTGTTTTGAATTCAACTCGATATTCTCAATGTGTACAAGTAAATTGCTTCACAAAACGTTCATTATTATAACCATTTATCACACTGATTTCTCATTATGATTATTTTATCCCCGTCTTCGTAAATTTCAGTCTTTTTTAGAGTACTAAAAAACGTTGATCTTCTTTTTTATATGAATATCCCTTCAGGGTGATAAAAATTGTTACAAATTATCTACTTTCTTCACATTTACTTCTTAGTCTCTAATAGACTTCTAAATTCATGCCTGTATAGCACATTGATGAACTTGTGGCGTGGTGTCGAATCGCGCTTGACTATGAACACCGCTACAAGACTACGTGCCAGTAAACCCATAAGATCCCGTAGGCCAATATCAGAAGACAGATGATGGCTGTAGTCGAGATATATTTGCTGGCGATCTCGTGGTATCGAAAGAATACCGAAATCGTGCCAAAGGAGTACAAGTGGGATCGGCAGGAGAAAGTACGTGCGTAGAGTCACATACCGAGCAGAAGTAATGGAGTTCAATGGTAGGCCAAAATGGCCTGATACAATTGGTTATAATAATAATTGTTTTCATCGAACCAATCGCGTTCTGTTGACAAAACCAGGTCACTACAGGAGCCCCCCGCTAGAAAGGGTTTACGCTTTCGATAAGTAGCGGTTTGATTCGTTGGACTGATCAGCACAAGTGCGGTTGTAGGACGGAAGAATTGGCGAAACAGGAAGCGATCGTTGATCCTCGTGTTGCCAACGAAAGTCTTTTGCGTAGAACGGTACCAGGAGAAGTGTGTTGTATTTGTTGGTTGAATTAGCATACCACACCATAGTGGTTTGTATCCAGGATCTGAAGATTGCGTTCGCAGGGACGCGGACCAGAAAACGCTGCAGACGTAGGACGAAACCACGTTAGGCCAAGAAACCGGAGGCGAGCATAACGACCAAGCGCAAAACCAAGCGTATGCCAGGCGAATTCGAAACCAGATTATCGACTGAGTGTGCTGACTAGAGCAGTGGTGATCAGGCCAGCTTGTTTGTCTTTAATGAACAACCTCCCTCTCGATTAAGAACGTGTAAGTTTATTTTGAAGGAGTATGGTGAGTGCAGAGGAGTTATTATTAAGTTCGACTGCACGTTTTTCATGTGCGACTGCTTTTTGTGTACGTATTGCTTCTGTTCGGACAAATATTTCTGTCATCGACAATGTTATGATCACTACCTGGAAACGTTTTTCCAATATACACCGTATTAGGGGTGAGGCCACTGGTAAAGACTAAGTCCAAGACATTTTGATGTCTGGTAGGGCTGTTGACATACTGAGTTCATTGTTCAAGCTCTGGACATTCAATAAATGGTTCGTAACGTTTCGGTGCTTTGGCTGGGAACCAAGAAATTTCAGGCATGTTGAAGTCACCACAAATAAGCTTGCCTGAGAATGGAATGGATGATGCTAGTGTGAATACCTCTGATAATACCTCTATGTCACCCATTGATGCGTTAGGTTGACGGTAAACACAGCCAAACAGTAAGGTAGCGGAATTCGACGGTTTTAATACAATCCACACCGAATCCTTCAGTTTGTTTAGTTCAGTCATATCACATAGTAGTGATTTTAGGCTGGAGTGAGCGTAAATAAGGCATCCTTCGCCTCGTTCTTTCAATCTATCACTTCTATGTAGGAAATAGTTGTCATGAGATATACTTAGGTCGGAAATAATATTGTTAGTTCATGCTTCAGATATCATTATAAGTGAAGGTTGATACATGGATACAAGCAGTGCCAAATCCTTCTTTTTATTGCAGATCGACCTAGCGTTGATGAGACATATATTAAACAAATGGCCTACTTAGTCAAAATGGGTGAGAGTATCTCGAATAAAGTCATTGTGACCCTCGCGGGTGTGAGATGAGTTTGAAGTGAAGGATTGAATGTTCTTCAATAGCTCGGTATTTTGATAGCTAGACTTAGTGTGAGATGTATCGAATGAGCTAGTGAAGTTGATTGGGGAGTTCACCCAGGAAGAAAGGGTGGGAGTACTCTCTGACGAAAACTGTACTGGGAAAACAAGTCTATGTTTTGCATGTGGTTTGAAATAACTTGGGCTATATGCTTCAACAGAGGTGTCACCAGGGGTCGTATTCCAAAAAAATATTGTGCAGGCCTACTGTGAAGTGTTTGGTTATTTGCAAAAGAGTCTTGGTGGTTAGGCGCGCAGCCTCTGTCATAGCTATTTACATTAGAGTGAGAGGGGCCTGTTGAGAGTACCTGGAAGGAGCTGCGGCTGTTATTATATGTAGGAGCCGTTTTTATGTGGTGGGTTGGTACTAAAGGGTGTGAAAAGTTTTCCTTCTGAAAGTAATTATAATTGTGATCCTGTGGGATGTAGATAGGGTGTGGAGTGAGAAACCTATTATTATCATTCTTGTTAATAGTTTTAAGCCTTAGCGGGTGGTTGGAGTGATCAGTACTCTGGTAGTTTTTGTTAGCTTGCGTGTAAAAAGGCTTGTTACGCCGTAGCCCACTACCCACTTTGCAGCTTAGAGGTGTTGGAGGCAAGTTATATGATATCGGCGGGGAGAACCTGTTCACTGTTGTTGGGATACCTATAGAGCAGTTGGGTTCAACCTTACGTGTTTCCCTACCCGGTATCGTGAGTCTTGTCTCCCCACCCTTTCTTGTCGGCGCTGGAATCTTTCGTTGTCTCTGTGATATGAATTTAGGTTTATTCGAGTCAACCTGTGGAGTATCATTAGGAGGACTAATTTTCAAGTGTATGGGTTTAGTTGGATGTGTGTTGTCACACAGCTGGGACTAGACATGTCGTTATGTTTTTGGTGACAGTTGGGGGCCGTATCTTATCCAAAGGTTTCTGATCGTTAAGCCACTTGTTTTGATTCAATATGTAGTGGAATGGACTATCTCGTCCCCTGTTGAAGTAAATCTCACGCTCGTTGTACAAGCTAGTGACTACCTGTAACCAGTGGTCAGTTGAATGATTCGGATAAATTTGAATCAAACGTCAACAATTTCAAATTTTAGATCGAACGTCAACTCCAGGAAGCAGGGATATCTAGCTGACAAGTCCAAAGTAGAACGAATGATGCGTTCCGGATTCCACTACTAGCTATATTCCATCCATTCTATTTAACCCCAATGTTTAAGTGTCCAGTGTTGTCTTGCGTTGTTTTCTAAAGTGGTGAAAATATTAGAGTTTGGGGCATTTTTGTATATCAGCAACTGTTTGTACGTACAAATCGAATCTCGGATTCGCATCTAAGAATTCAAAGGCCCATCCAGCTGGATTCTGTATGTTTAACAATTGACTGAACGAGATGAATTTAAATTTACTTTGAAAAGGCAGCATCGAACATATATATGTCATTCAGTTGCTTCATTCGTCGTAATGACTGTTTAAACTTATTATGAAATTTACATGGCTCTAAATGCTTGAAATTGAATTTTCCAGCTCGAATCCATGGAAAACATTTACAGAAAACATTTTATTCCGAATTTCTTAGTCTCTCTACATATTTTTCAAGGTTCTATCAGTTTCTATTTAAATAAATGTTCAGATTAATCGGATTCCAATTAAAGGTTTTCACGGCGATTTTTCAAGTTGATCGGTACTAGTTCGTTAATTTGGAGGCTTGTTTCTCATTAGCGTGGCGTTCTATATTTATGTAATAACTGCTTTTTACATTTGTGTGGGGGCAAGTTTTCATACTTTGTTAGGTTGACCAAATTTTGCAGCAATGAGATGTCCTGCGGATGTTCATCCAAGGACCATGAGAGCCTTGGCAGATGTAATTGCTGAACCATCGACAGAACTATCAGAAGTGTTTTGTGGATATTATAGTAGTTTCAGCGGTTTAGATCATGATCTGATTGAAGCTAGACCACCATAGAAAACCTGGAGGCACTGGAAGGCCGTTTCATCTTATTTTGCGACTCCTTAGCAGTGGTCATCCACGAGCTCGCCTCGTGAGATTCAAATCCAGGACCTATCAGTCTCGCACTCGATATATCACTGAGACTGTGCAGATTTTCAAGAGACTGGGAGGATGCAGTCGTCAGTCCAGTTTATAAAGTGGGGAGTAGAGAACTATTCAATCTCCATATTTTGGGCAAGCCACTATAGACGATTTTGGGGAAATTCCCCAATATCTCCCCGAAATTTCCTCCAAACCTTGGCGAAGGTCATTTGACTTTGGGTTTTCCCCAAACTTGGGAGATTGGGTAGTTAGGAACTATTGTCTTGTTGATCTGACCATTTAGTTCAGCTAACGGAAAATTTTCGAATAATTATTCTAAACTATGTGTTTCAAGTATGAAGGTGGTATACTGGGATGACTTCAACGGCCATGGACAAAGGTAATAAGTTTTGCTCGTCTACCTTATGAAAACACTTACGCTTCAATCTACTTCGGTTATTTTACTGCAGCTTACGGGGTGATCTAATACTGGCTTACCGTACACTGAACAATGGTCCTGGTATTAATATGTTTTATCCTTTCCTTCCATCTAGCACTGACCATCTGAGAGGATATTTTAAGAAAGTTCGGAAACAGATCAGATTCAGAAAGCCTACGGCTTGTTATTCCTTTTCTAGTATGCTTCTATGAGTTTCCAGTTTTCTCTTGAATGAGGCAATTGAAAGTGTGGACACCACTGTTTCGGGTAACAGGTTCCAAGAATTGATGACTCTGTATCAAAACGTGTATGCCACGGGTATTTTGTTCGTACTTGGCTTTTCTACTCGCCTGCTATGTCCTCTGAGATGACCCGATCTAGTGGTAAGAAAAAGAGAAAATATACTAGGTCCAAAATCATTTCTTAGTATTTCATACATCAAAATTAGATCACCTCTTAATCTGCTATAGGACAGAGTAAAGAGGTTTATCTTTCCAAGCCGCTCTTTGTATGGTAAACTCCGGAGTTCTGTAATTGTATGGATAGCTGCTCTCTGTACTTTTTCCAGGATGTCCGAGTCACCTTTTAAACAGGGGCTTGCAGTCTGAACGCAGTTCTCAAGCTTAGTTCTCACTAGAGTTGTGTATACTATAGTGAACATGGTAGTATCTAACTTGGTGAATGTCAGTCTTAAAGCCCAGAGGGTTCTAAACCCTTTAGCTGCGACCTCCCGGCAATGGTCCGTGGTCCTAAGGTCATGACTCACTGTCACTCCAAGATCTTTGTGAGACTGGACCACGGGTACAGGCACTTCCCCTATGCCTTACCTATTAAACTCTGTATCCTCAAAGTGCATTTAGACACAGTTTGCCGCGTTGTTAGGCATCAACCACTCTTTAGGTCAGTTAATCACATTATTTAAGTCTGCCTGAAATGCGCGTGCGCCTGCGTCTCCCGTTATTATTCGCCAGATTTTTACATCGTCAGCGTATAACAATATTGGGAACTGTACTATACCTGGGAGATCATTTGCATACAGTATGAAAAGTAAAGGACTTAAGACAGAACCTTGAGATACTCCACTAAGTACTGATTTCCAGGTGGAGCACATGGAATTTATTCTTGCTTAGTGTCTACGACCTACTGGGAAATCCCTAAGCCATTTTAAGAAGGGTCTAGCAATACCAATATTTTTTAAATTCATGAGCAGTTTATTTGTTGGCACCTCATCGAATGCCTCACTGAAGTCTATGTAGACAACATTCACTGAATTTCCGTTGTCTAGTGCCTTTATACAATTCTCCCTTGTTATAAGGAGGTTTTTTGTGCAAGATAAACCCTTTCTGAAAACATGTTTTCTGTTTAACAAGTTGTTGGTTTCCACAAATGTCATTATGACCTTTTTGACTATTCTTTCCAATATTTTAACTATAGCACTAGTAAGGCTGACAGGTCTGTAGTTCGATGGAAGTTGTCTTGGTCCTGTTTTATGTATGGGAGTGACGATTACATCCTCCCAGTACATAGGTAACACACTGTTGTCAAGTGATTATTAAATATCACAGTCAGTGTGGCTACGATATATTGTAGAATGTGTCTCAGGATTTTGGGGTGTAGTTCATCCGGTCCTGTTGACTTTCCCATGTCTAAGGTGCCAAGAGCCTTATCTATATTGTCTCGATCAAGGTCCACGGTGAGCAGATGGCTTGTTGACTTTGTATTTGGGTCTAGTTCTTCGTCTATAAGAGTGAAAACTGCCCCAAAATAGTTAGCCATAGCCTATGCTTTTTCCTGATCTTCCTCTATTATTTCAGATGCACTCCCTTCTTTAATTAGTTTGGGAATCCAATGGTGCATTCTTGTTCTGTAATTTATGTACGAGAAAAGTCTCTTAGACTGCTTGAGTGCAGATTGTGCCAAATGGATTTCTCTGAGCTTCCCGAATTTTGGTTATACACCTGTGGCTTTCCATCTTACTTGATGTGCCAAGGCTGGTGGCAACATCCCAACATTTTTTCTTTTGTCTTAGTAAACGTCGAATATCCCAGCCTACCCAGGGGTGACCATGCTTCTTTTTTTGGGACTGTCCAGGGTACCAAATTGTATAACTACCCGAAATCAGTCCGTACCTCTTGTACTGGTGCCCTTGCGTCAATTTTCCAGTTTTCAGCTGATGCTGCAGAGTTGATTGCCTCCATGTCTGTCTTCCATATGTTAGGACGGGCCGGCGCAACTGTCTGACAGGTCATCTCAGTCATGAATTTGAATAAGATGACTGCATGATCGCTTCTCCCTAGTGGTGGGAAAAAAGTCATCTGACCGACGCCATCACCGTGTGCGAAGACTAAGTTCAAGAGAGACGAAGAGCTTCGTAAGTCATATCTGATGGGATCTCTAATATGTTGGAATAAAGCTAATGCAATTGAGGTTTCTAACAGTTTGCAATCGAATGACGTTATCGATGAACCTACTTATAAGTTTACCCAGTTTATATATGATGCATTTAAGTCGCCTACTATAAGGTTTTTACCCCTATTGCACCAGGACTTAAGTTTGCTTAGGAGGAAGACATCTACTACACATTCTGGACTGTGATATACTGATTCAATATCTTGCCGTCTACATTTCAGCCTGCAACGCACCAGTTCAAATAGTTGAATTCTTGAATTCTGTTCCTGGTATTGAGTAGTGAATTACTGGAACTCAAGGGCAACTGACAGTATCAGCACCTGTTGATGCATTCAAAACGAAATTGTATCTTAACATTACTGTAACTTCAAAGGGTTAACACAGGTCGACCGAACTCTTATTCTTACTACTGAGAGCTGATTGTGCTGGTTTATAGGTCGTAACGGGTCTTCTTTTATCAGTCATTAGTTCGAGTTTCATTTTTTTACATCTTAATATAAAATGAGTGAATAAAAAAATACAACTAGTAGCCCCTTATTTTTATGCCGCAGTAGCTCTTTTATTGAGAAATTCTGACTTTTCTAACTGTCCTATCATTTATCGAGTATTTTACTATGTAGATGAATACTGACGACTGAACTTCATGCCTTTGATTTTACCATTCGTAGTTGGACGTTAATCCTTTTTTAAAAAATATTTACAGGAAATTTATACTACATCACAATGGCATTCACACGAAGGACATCTAGTCGGGCTTGCAAAGAATTGACTATGGCTCGCATTGTTGCTTGTTTAGAATCACCACAGGAACCTGAAATTAACCTTAAAGAAAGTAGTGTCTTTTCTTCGAGATTTGATTCCTGTCTAAGATCTCGAAGAGCAACGTGTACTGGTGCCTTAAAGTCTCCAGGTAATTATTTTTTTCGTTTTACTGCTTTTAGTTAAGAAATTGTCAGAGCTTTGTTTATCTTCACCCCAAAGGACTCCCAAGTCACTTTTAAATACAAGCTGTTTAATCGAAAGTAAGTCATAATATGGTTTGGTCGAATTATATATATATATATATATATATATATATATATATATATATATATAAATTAGTGGGAATGAACATGGAGCTCCGGTGCCTTAACCAAGCACTGACTATAGGGGGCCAACCTAAGAGAGTTGAAATATGATAACTCTGACCCCCTAGTGTACGTGTACTTTATAATTTTATGAAAGGATGACGGACGAAGTTTGTGTTTCGAGGACTCGAAATTCGTTGATTTGTGGTGCAAAATTAGTTCGCCACAAGTGGTGGGTGTATATATGAACCAAACATTAAAAGTCCATAAAACTCTGTTGGATTGATATGTATTCAATAAGTCAGTTAGCTACAAGGTTGAACCAGACACATATGTGCATCAGTTGAAGTTGCTATACCTCAATAGCACAACAAAATGAATACCAAATTCATAGTAGTTACTTCAATAGTAACAATATATAAAAGAAGGATTGCGTATAAGGATGTAATACAGGAAGAAATAATTAGTTCGTAGAAAGAAAGTTATACAATAATTTTGATCTCACAGTTTAAGGGAAGACAAGGAGTGTATACACCTACGCTATTGTGGTCGATTTTGAGCCATGTTACCCAGAGCCTCCAACCATTGTTTACGATAGTCACGCGGACCCCAACCAAGTAGTCTGCATCTACTAACATGGCTCAGACTAGAAGTCAGTGACTTCAACGACTGATACCACGTTGTGGTTTGGCCGCCCCTAACTTTCTTCCAACCATCCTCAATAATATTCATCATTGTGCGTTGTGGCAATCGGTGGTCGGGCATACGTAACACGTAGCCCAACCATCTCAGTCGATGAAAACTTACCTCATCAACTGATTTACCAGCTCCATCTTCGGTTTGGGCATCCAGGTAGTATGCTAACCCTCAAAAAACTAAAGTATGGCTCAATGCAATCGCATCTTGAGTATATCATGATATTAAGGAGGGCTTACTTCAATAGTGGAACTCAAAACGCCGTACATCGGGGCGGATTAAAGTGTTTAAAGGTCTGAAATTTATTCAATATGCCCTTCCTCTATACGGCTAATGCCCCCAAATGCCCTGATACGGCCGAGAGTGGGGAGAGTCCGCTCTCCCTCTCGAAATACTCTCACATGGCCATGCGTATATAGCCTCTGCCAGGGAAGTCCTACTCACTGCCTTCTCGTGGCGGGGGTGTTGTTTACGAAAATGAGAGGACGAAAAGCGAATTTCTGGCGCTTTAACCGGACCCCAAACCAATGGTGCACATGGGCTCCAGTATCCTGCGGGAACAAATGGCGTATGAAACAATCGTTGGTCACCGGCTACCATGGGACTGCATCTCCTCACGATGCTCCACTGCCTTGTGGGTCAGACGTTCAGGTCAAAGGCTCGGGGTGTGGCCCCCTAAGAAAACCACCTGCTTCGGTTTGGGCACCCGGGCAGTATCACAGCCCTCACACAAATCAATTGAGATTTGTGTGGCGCATATGTATTTGGTGCCTCCCTGTACCTATACTTATGTGTTAAAATAAAATAAAATACGGCTAATCACAAAGGCAAGTTTCTCAAAACATTCTATTTACAATAGTTTAGACAAGCGATTGGGTGTAAATATTAACCCTTCATTCATGTTGGGACAATGAAGGGTTTATGTGCAGTTACACGATGATCGAAGAATCACAATCTCTACCTACTTCGCATTTATATTTTCGTGTTACATAAAGTATTAACAAGAGTCCAGTCACGTATTTTGCGCTTTTCACAGCAAAATCTGCGTACTTAATATTTTACCGAATGGGTGTCATTTATAGTATACATAAGATTCAGTTAACCTGTTTAAGAATTAGTATGAGATTCTGGAGCGATAGACTTCATATAATATATCTTTTCACTTGTGATTAATTTTCTTTTTGATGGAGTTTTGGTCGTGGAGCTTTTATCGTTCATCTGAAGACATCATCAGCACAAACTTCAGATAGTTCCACGACCAAAACATCCAGCTCAGAGAACAAAACTCCATCAAAATCATTCGCCTGAGCTACAAATCTTTCTGTAAGCTGGTGTAAGAATTATGATTTAGAATTTTATGATAGGGTATTATCTAAAGAAAGCTCATAACACATACCAAAAGTTTCAACCATGATCGACTCCAAATTATCCAACAGCACCGTCATTTAGTCTATGTGAACATCCGTCGAAATTTAAATGATTAGTGTGAAAGAAACTGGACAGAGTATATACAATACATCACCTGAAAAAACTATTTTAGATCTGAGCGGTTATAATTTAGTTAATTCCAACATTCCACCTTGCGAACTGACAAAGCTCGGACTCGTTTGCCGGGCAAAGTGTTGGAATTATTTAAATTTCAATTGCCGAGACTTAAAATATGATTCTTACGTATGATGCATTGATTTAATATGCTTAAAAAGTACTTGGGAAATATTTGATGAATTACAGATTGATTGAGTCTCTAAAATTAACATGTCAACTCCAAGGTTAAAATGGTCATAGAAGACCTTCATTACATGTATTCCCAGCAATTTTGTCTTTCGTGCTCTTTTACAAAGCTGAACTAACTTTTGTTCAACAAATTAATGACGTCCACGATATTAAGAAACAATGGATTAGGTTTTATTTATTACTAGTTAGGTGAGCAAGTGGGACTTATTACACGGATTTAATACAATTCTTATTATTGATTAACATGATTACCATTTATTACAGTCGAGACAGCACGCAGATTTATGCTTGACGAGCATAAACACTTAAATAGTTTGATTTCCTAATCCTATTTCATGGTAATAATAGTAATAGCAGTAGTGACTATAGTAATTTTCGGAATTTTCATCTTACTAACTAAACAAAAAGCAATACTTGATCATACTTCTGTTAATTAATTTATTTATATATTTAAATAATTTTAAATGTGTAATTTATTGAACTAAAGGTAATTTGAGATTTTACAAATATTACAATTGCAAAGTTCCTAGAATACTAGTAAAATTTATCTGTTTATGGCTTATAATAGATCTCTCCTCTCTTATAAACCTTCAACTCGTATTCTCAACGGGATATATTTATACGTGTCGCTAATATAATTTGAAACGTCCATAATTTCTTACAAATATACCACCTACTAGTCTATTGAAAGATGATTTATAATTATTCGATTTAATTCCTGTCATTATCATCTGACATCGAGTAACTTTCCTGACTATTCTTATATAATGTCACGTAGTTTCTCATATCAGTTTTTTTTTTCATTTAATTTATCTGTATATTCGCTTTTTGTAGAACATTGGTTTATAGTGTGATAGATGGATAAATCAGTTAACCATATCCAGTTTATTTAAATAGTTTTAGTTTTAGTGAGTGGGCTGGGATACTGCCCGGGTGCCCAGACCGAAGCAGGTGGTTTTCTTAGGGGGCCACACCCCGAGCCTTTGACCTAAAGGTCTAGTCCACAAGGCAGTGGAGCATCGTGAGGAGATGCAGTCCCATGGTAGCCGGTGACCAAAAGTTGGTTCATACGCCATTTGTTCCCGCAGGATACTGGAGCCCATGTGCACCATTGGTTTGGGATCCGGTTATAGCGCCGGACGTTCGCTTTTCGTCCTCTCATTTTCGTAAACAACACCCCCGCCACGAGAAGGCAGTGAGTAGGACTTCCCTGGCAGAGGCTGTATACGCGTGGCCGTGTGAGAGTATTTCGAGAGGGAGGGCGAACCTTCCCCGCTCTCGGCCATACCAGGGCATTTGGGGGCAATTTGCTTATGGAAAATATTCCTTTCTATCTGATTAACATTGAAATAACTCGTACTATCATTATTATTGTTATTATTATTATTATTATTATTATTATTATTATTATTACTCTACCACGTCATTTATTCACCCTCTCTTATTCCTACTTTATATATGCGTTTCGACCTAGACAGCAGCTCACCTATGGTGAAAATTCAGCTTTATCTAAACGTTCCCGAGTCACTGCCTGGTTGAAAATTGTATGTTACTACCGAACATGAGTACTGAAGCAGTTTTTCTGAAACCGCGTGCACCATTCAAACTGGCTACCTTCAACGTTCGCACACTTATGCAGGTCGGACAACAGATAGGGTTGGCTATGTCTTTGGAAAGTCTTAATATTGATGTGTGTTGTCTATCCGAGACCCGTATTCAAGACTCTGGTGAAGTACTACAAGTTCGCTCTCCATCTGTCACTTCAAAAAGCTTGTTTTATGTGCGTTTATCCGGGGACCCTGTGGCATCTTCGTCTGGTCTTGCTGGCGTTGGTGTCGCACTAAGCGCAAGAGCTGAGGCAGCACTAGTCGACTGGATCCCCATTAACAGTCGGTTATGTGCTGTTAGATTAGAAAGTTCCATCAAAGTGAGAAGAAATCGGCGTGAGAAACGATGTCTTTTCGTCATCTCCGCCTATGCCCCGACAGATTGCAGCCCGGATGCAATCAAGGACGAGTTCTACCATCAGCTAACTGTTCTTCTCCAGAAAGTGCGTTCGACAGATATTGTAGTACTAGCTGGAGACTTGAATGCTCAGGTCGGGCGTCTAGGCACAGAAGAGAGTCGTTTAGGTGGCCGATGGGGACTCGTTGGTCGCAGGACAGATAACGGGGAACGTCTACTACAACTATGCACAGACCACAACCTGTTTCTGGCTAGCACTAACTTTCGGCACAGTCATCGCCAATGTGCCACCTGGCGTCCTCCTTCTGCATCTCAAGCCTGGACTCAGATTGATCACATCGCGATCAGCTACCGCTGGCGCGGTTGTGTACAAGACTGCCGCTCCTTTTGGAGTACCTATCTGGAAACTGATCATGCTCTGGTCTGCGCCAATCTTACCTTACTTTTCAGTGGACAACGAAGTGACCGCCACCAAAGGATTGATGTTAGCAAGCTGGCTGCAACTTCTGTTGCTAGTAAGTACCGAACCGAGCTAGCTTCTAGGCTAGCTACCATTCCACCGAAAAGTATAGATGAGCATTGGTTGCAATTGCATGACGCCATGAAAATGGCGGGTCAAGTCAGTTGTGGGTTTGCGAAACGTCCCGCTTGCAAGCACTGGGTTTCTTCTGGTTCCTTACAACTGATTGAAGCCCGTCGGTCTACTCCGGGTGACCGTGAGTTTGACCTCAGACGAAGGATGTTACGTAATGAAATCGGGCAAAGCTTGCGTGAGGACCGAGAAGCCTGGTGGTCGGAGCGTGCCAGTGAGTTGGAAGCAGCAGCTGCATCTGGTAATTACCGGAAGCTCTTCCAACTCATCCGAGCCACTGGCAGCAAGAAGTTTGGTGTGAGCGAAACAATTTGCGAGGATGACGGAACGCCAATCACTAACATCCATCGACGTCTTGGACGATGGGCAGAATTCTTTGAAGGGCAGTTCAACTGGCCTGCTGCTCCGGCAACATCGGTCAGACTGTCCTGCCCTCCATGGCCGGTGACGACTGATCCACCAAATGAGGCGGAAGTCCGCAAGGAACTCCAACTCTTCAAACGTTACAAATCACCGGGCCCAGACGACTTACCTCCGGCTCTTTTTAAAGATGGTGGTGACTTTTTGACTAAGGGACTGACGACGTTGTTTACAAAGATCTGGGAACTAGAGTGTGTACCAACGTCATGGAATGAGTCGATAGTTGTCCCTATCTTTAAAAAGGGTTCACGTTGTTCCTGTAACAACTATCGGGGGATAAGTCTACTTCCGATTGCGTCCAAGCTATTGGCTTCCGTCATACTTCGTAGGTTGTTCAGAACCCGAGAAGGATTGACTCGCGAGGAGCAGGCTGGGTTTCGTTCTGGTCGAGGATGTATTGATCATATCTTCACCCTCCGCCAAGTGTTAGAACACCGCCATACTTATCAAAGGCCAACAATCGTAGGGTTTCTTGATATCAGGGCTGCCTTCGATTCGTGTCACATATCCGCACTCTATTCCCAATAAAACCATTTAAAAATTTTTCAGTTATTTTTTATTCTCTCACTTTTATTAATGTGCACCCCTTTGGTGCGCGCTCTTGATTTACTATACTTTGTTAGATAATATACTAGTGGAATCATCTTTCTGTGATACTGAATAGCTTTCTGTCCGACTGACTTTTGTGAATGTCTTCAGTTTTTGATCACATCCCTCTATAACGCGTCCTTTTTAGAGGATCCTAGCAAAATAGAAATCTCAGGGATGATAAATGGTTGTGGTTCTTTTGTAAAAATAGCGGTAAAATATAAGCATACTGAATTTAAATAATTGTTATATATATTCTCATCGGATTTTACATGTTTTCTGATCCTGGACAGATGTCATACTCATTACTTTTTAAATCTCATTTTTCAGAAAGAGGAAACATCTTAAATACGAACTCTCAATGGTAGGTTATAAAAAATTGTTTATAGAAAATGTTTTTGTGGTATTACGATTTGGTATTTATTGGTTTGGTTGCCTGTATCTATGTTGTATTTTATTGAACATTATGAATTTAGCTGATCTTATATGTGGTGAAACTACAAGCTAGGTACTTGTTGTTCGTGTTTCCGTGTTTTATTTTCTATTACAACTTTTGGAATTTGATCAGTTTAATTCAAACCATATTTCGCTACTGTCTGGGATGTATGAAATTAATTTTAGATTTTCATTTTATTATTACGAACTTATATTTTCGTAACCTATAGCTGTCAATAGATATGTGTAACCTGTTTGTGGGCATTTTGGGCAACATAAGTAAATATATGTAAATTTGGTAGTAATAATGGTAGTCTAGTCAGTCACACCGAACTTCTGGAATGAAAACGAACAATGTGAATTCAACTCAGTTTGTTGTTCAGAGTTATGAAGAAAATGAACAAGGTCTTGGTTTCATTGGATATCGATACTGAACCTAGTCGTATATATATATATATATATAACGTAGGACCAGGCACATATATGCATCGGTCCAAGTTGCCATACCTCATTAGCACAACAAGATGAACACCGGATTCATAAAAGTAGTTAATTCAGTGGTGGTAATATATAAAAGAAAGATTGTATATAAGGAGATAGTACAGGAAGAAAGAATTAGTTCCTAGAAAGAAAGATATGAAGCGATTTTAATCTCTTAGTTTAAAGGAAGATAGAGAGTGTATACACCGACGCCATTGTGATCGATTCTGAGCCATGTCACCAAGAGTCTCCAACCATTGGTTACGATAGTTACGCGGACCCTAACCAGGTATATATATATATATATATATATATATATATATATATATATATATATATATAAATGAGATAGCATTTTCGCATATGTTTGTTATGAAACAATACAAATATAAGTGGTACTCAGTCAGCTACCATCATTTATCATTTGCGAGTAAGTAGTGAATTGAAAAGACAGACACAACCTAGTATGCTCATTTTATTCGGTGAAAAATTTACAAACCAAGAAGCAAAGATAGATGATACCTAAGTTTTCTATAGACCTTTAATTATACTTTTATATTAGTAAAATCCGAAGAGATAAACTACAGTAAGTGTAAAGTTCCACTAAACTTCATATTTCAGCGTATACGCTATTTCAAATCTATTTTACATTGCTTGCATCATGCTTTCATTAATACAATCATCCTATACGTTGACGTAGTTTCCTATAATCATCACAACAAGTGACACTCCGCGCGTTTCAATTCAAGTTCAATGTCCCGGACACTTCAGAGAATGTCTCATAAGTGCACATCATACTATTCTAAGGGGTGATTATAGTCATATCATATGAGCACACGAAACGTCAACAGAGAACTAGTCTTTTGTGAACTTTTTAAACCTGATATTTAAAGATTTTGGATATGTGATCGTTAAGATTGCATCTGAAGTTCCTTATCCTGGAACATCTGACTTCGTTATTGACTGGTGAGGAGCAGGGTCATATACATTAAGGGTTATTGAGCATTACCTAAGCGTTCACCCCATATTTCCCAGTTGTGTATGAGGACACTCAACTGAGTAAATCTTATTCCCGCTATTCGTCCGAAGAAGTCGTCACCTAATGTCATTAAAATTTAGGCAGAGCAGCTTCATATCATATATATCAAGGTGTGTATATATTTTGAACATTGGGATATCGTAACTTGTCCTGATGTCGGAGACTAAAATATGTAACGGCAGATTTGACTAAAAAACTGATAACTTGTGCATGCATTTATGTTTATACATATTACTGACGTATGGGGAAGCCTAACACATTTAATTCAATGAAGAGTCAGCGACCTACAAAATCGATGTCAACGTATCGTTCATGATATTTAATCACATTATTTTCAGGCTGGTAATTCTCACCTCTGTTATTTTATTATAAGAGAAACACATTCTTCTGTCTAGTGATCATGCCTTTTATACGAGTTCATTAGAGTTTGAGCCAATTGTCCGGTCTCGTTGGTAGTTTTCATTTTAGCACATTGCATAATTGATTATCATCCATCTATCAAAATTCTTTTCTTTCATTTCAAAAGTCGAATATTTGCCCATCAATTCACAAAACCTATTTCATATCAATTATATTATTTAGTACTGGTATTATGCTCATTTGTTTTAATAAAAAATACATGTTTTATTAATCATAATCAGTCCAATGGATAGCGAAGATTCATATGATGAAAGTTCTATCTCGACAAGTGAATCAAGTTTTTCGACATGTAATTCATCAGATTCTTCCGACTTTACTGAACAACAATTTCAACACAAAAACAGGTTGAAAGGTCCTATAATAAAGTCATTCCCTGTAAGAAGAACAAAGCTCAATGTATGTGTGAGTTAAACTGCAACTGTTTATTAATTTTTGAAATAATTCTGTGTATCTATTAGTACCGTATTCACAAGATTTGTCGTGACATTCAACTTATTAACCACTAGGCTATGAGCTAACACCTACCTAATTGGATTATGCTTGGATAGTTAACGTTATATGTTCAGTCAGTTATCACCAACATACAGCCTAACCAAGATGTACACTGATCTAAGTTATCGTACTACACTAGCACGATGGAATGAAAATAACAAGTGAAATCGAGTTTGAAATAATGTATTATCAATGATAATTAGTACGACTGAACATTTGGAAGATAGTTCGAAAAAATGGAGCGGAAGCGTATGTAAGAAGGAAAATCGGAGTTGAAGATCACGATAAGTATAAAGAGTTGCTGCCCATACGCTGTTGTGAATAATGCTGAGCCTTAGGCGGAGTTTTGTTCTCTGAGTTGGTTGGTTCGACCATGGAGCTTTCACCGTTCTTCTGAACAACATCATCAGCATAAACTTCAGGTAGAAATCAAGTGTTCTGATTTTTCCACATATGACTCACAACTTATCCTGTCGACCTCAATTTTGATTGACTGATTAGTTGACTTTTAACCTGTCGTTGTCTACCTCTTTATTTTGATTGTATCTCCCTTTGATTTAATTCTTGGTCCATGATTTTTTTGACTGGTAGATAGATTGGATCGATTTCGATATGGTTGTTGATAGACCTCAGTCTCAAGCTTCTAAAGATTATCTGATGTCTTTGGTATTCCCTCTATCCAGTCGAATGCGTGTCCACAGTTATCCACATGCATTGATATAAGCGAATATATGTGATGGCGTTTGACCGCTAATTGATGTTCTTGCAGGTGAAGATAAAGGGGGCGTCCACTTTGTCTGATGTAATGTTTTTCGGAATGCGACCAATTTATTTTGTAGATGATGTTTGGTTTTTATTCTTTTGCCATTTGACCCATTTGAGGTCGACAGGACAAGTTGTGAGTCATGTGGAAAAATTAGAACACTTGATTTCTGCCTGAAGTTTGTGCTGATGATGTTTTTCAGAAAAAACACTGAAAGCTCCACGACCAAGCCATCCGGCCCAAACAACAAAAATCTACCTAAATCATCCACTTAAGCTACAAATCTCGACCATCTCATAATTCTGAGCCATTTCACGCAGTTTCTAAACTCTGATATCGGTTATCGTACTGCTTCCAACCAGTAATTCTACATCTACCAACATTACTCAGAACATCAGTCAATAACTTTCCGTTATATGAAAAATGTTTAAACCACTGAACTCATGCTTAATGCTGAGTTCGTGGACAAAATCTCATAACATTAATAGTATGGATCTCATCTTCACTCGTTAAAATAAAATGGATTTGATGAGACTTAGTTGCGGAACAAAGTGGCTTCAGTTACGGCTTTTTTGAAACCTTTTCTTTGTTTATTCAAAAGTACTAAATTAACAGATTCCTATCTATTTCAAAACGGTTCTACTGATCATTACATTAGTTTGTGTTTTCAGTATTTCGTGTACAAGATGTTTCAAGTAGACAAGTTTCCCTGTAAAATGATCAAGTTTAAAGAGCACTTCTTTAAAACCATCCATAAGATTAAACATAAATATTTATTAATATCAGATGGGTTTTGTGCCTATTATGGTAATTTCAATGGTTAAGATCATGAGTCAGTTGAAGCTAGACCACCATGAAAAACCTGGAAGCACTGGACGGCCGTTTTTTCCTATTGTGGGACTCCTCAGCAGTGCGCATCCACGACCTCGCCCCCTGAGAGATTCGAACTCAGAACCTGTCGGTCTCGCGCGCAAGCGCTTAACCACTAGACCAACGGTGTTAATGTCTAACTTCAACTAATCCACGAAATTGAGCGACACATCCACCATTGTCATCGGTGAGTTACTATCTCACAACAGACCTGGCTGAACTCCGACATATTCTCACTAGTGACTGGCTTTAAGAGGTATATCCTGGCGTTTTAGTGAGAAGCAGTGACCAGGTTTTTCATGGTGGTCTAGCTTCAATTGACTCATGATCTTAACCTTTGAAATATTTATTAATCAACCACATTTAATTGTCAATCTTATTGTAATTACGTTGATTACATGCGTATTTCTTTGTGTGTGTTCATTAAGTATCCAGTATTCGTATTATGATAATAGGATACCTCTGAATAATACATATTGTCTTTATTGTAGGCCAATAAACGCTCTGTATCGGCTCATAGGAAGCGCACTCTTAGCCAGGTGTCTCGTGGTGAGTCTTTTCTTAATTTAAAGTAAGTCAAACCTTTGAATTTTCAAGTATAGCTCATAGTTTTTCCGTTGAGTTAATTGTCTACGCCGAATTTGTTAACTTGTTAATTCTAAGATTACTTTACTATAAGTTTGTTACTGTTAATTAATAATAATACAATAATAATAACAATATTCTTGCAAACTAAGCAGTAAAGCAAGTTATTTATGTGACTACTTATTTTATAATCATAGTTTTTACAATAATGCATTTTATAATCAAAGGCATCTTCAATCAACATTTCATTTTTTATATAGTTCTACGAATTCGGAATATGGATGGTTACCTGGTCGTGAACAAGAATTTGAAAACATTTATACATTCATACTTAATAAACTATCTCAAAATTCTGGCGGGTATATTTTTTACAGTTTTCTATCTTATTTATAATACTATTTATTTTCACTATCGTACCTATGACTCTTTCGAATAAAAATTTTCTTAGAAAATGAATTAAATAAACGTAGAAAGGGGTTTAGTTCAGTGATATGGACATTTAAGTTCTTAATGATATCTGGTCATGACCTCAAACTCATTACGTTTCTATAAATAAGCGGAGAATACCCATATTCTGCTGCTAATAATTCTAAACAAATGAATGTAACTTCTGCTTAATGTACTTTTATTTTTAACAGTAGTATAAACATAATAAATCTAATTTTACTTTTCACGACTTTGCAATCAACACAGGCTAATACATCCCGACTTCTATGTGGGTTACTGCTATATTTGTTTATCTGTGAATGTAATATTATTTGTATTATTCCCATACGTAAAGTGTGAGCGTTCTTTGTTAATAATTCTTTTCGAACTTTTTTGACATGTATATCATGTTTCTTTTTAATATGATTTCGTTACAGCTGTATGTACATATCTGGTATTCCGGGTACTGGTAAAACAGCATCAGTTCAATCGGTGCTGTCTACGATGCATAAATTGGTTGCTGATTCAGGTTTGGAAAGTCAAATACCCACATTCCAAGTAATCTATGTTAATGGCATGCGTGTCAGTGATCCTAAACAAGTTTACGTGGAGATATATGAAGTAAGGTACATTGTGTTCTAACGAATAATATGGAAATATTTTCTTTAATATAGTAACTTTTCCACCCATTGAAACTTATTAAATGAGTCCATATGTCACTTAATGTACCTTAGTTGCTGAAGTTCGAAATTTTTGTGACATACTACGATCAAAATGTATAAACTGCCGGTACGTTGGTTAATCGAGTGGTTGGATTGTTCCGTTCAATGTCCAGATATTCTTGTGATCACCGACTTCGCTATTTTAGTGTTAGTATTTTGGAGTAAGAATGACAGCTATCTCTCGGATTCATTCTTGACCTCGTACATCCATACGTGGAATTCACAAATAAAAGTGAGTTTCTCAAAACGACACAGAACAATGGGATATCGCATAGGTTTAACTCAAATTGGAGTCAGTTAAGGTGTAGCTACCTCCCTCCTCCACGTCTTAATATTATCCCTAATAACCTGTATGCTTTTTTGGTCATTCATGGTGTTAGCGGAACATAGATTAGATTAAATCATGCTCATTGCACGCTTGCGTTGGCGCACGCTGATTAGATAAGAATTAGCCAATCAGCGCTAGCCGATGCTTGGAGAATACTCTGGAACCTTCTCATGTATAAACTATAAATATACTAACGTTTTTCCTATTGTGCTTTTTTCTTCCATCTAACCTTGTTATTTGGAATATAATCTCTTTCCTGTTCAAACGTGTTCTGATTTGGGGACTTGTCGAGTGAATTGGTGTCCGTGAATACTAAGCAATAGGAATAGCTGGGTTATAACCGTAAGAGAGAGAAATATAACACATGGTACAATTGTGCCTCCGTATGGCTAAGTTGTAGCTATAGAGGTTCACTGTCTACAACTTAGTGTTTGCAATGTGAATTCGTTAGCGTTATTTCATGACAACACAAATCATATATCATACGTTTTAATCACTGATAACGGTTACAGATCAAAGTGTGGAAGCAATAAGGTTATCAGCAAGCAATAAAGAAAGAAAATTATCACCAATGGTGAACAATAGAGCCGTAAACAAGTTATTCTTGCTTACTACCCACGCCATACTGTAGTGAACGAAGACTTGTTGGGGATAACCAATCAATTGTTTAATACAAATTACAGAAAGTCTTCGTAAAATATGAAAATCATACATTAAATACTTCATTTGCACATCTTCCACCAATTATTTCTTACAAACTTCATCGTTTTTTATTCCTGTTAGTATAATTTCTCTCTGTTTACATTCCCGTTTTCTTCTATTCGTTGCTCTCAAACCTCTGCTGCCAGTCGTTCCACTTCTAGTTGGTGTTACATACTACTTATGCCTGTCAATAGAAGTACCATACACAACAATACTAGTTAACATCCTAAACTATCTGACAAAGCAGAATAATTTTGCACTGACATAAAGTTCAAGGGACATCTGCTGAAAAATCGTCATTTGAAAATTAGTAGTTTTGTTTGCTTTTAACAAAACTTTGCGACCTGAGATGATGATTAATAGCAAAATCCAGAACCTTGGGGGTCGATCATCTCCTTCCGTTTTCCCGGCTATAGAGAGATAGCATAAGCCAAAAATATTGACCATTTTAGGAGGACATTGTTGCTGTTACATTCCTATTTTGAACTCAAGCTGTCGTCATGACAGTAGCTCGTGTATTGTTTTTCCATTCTTTGATCTACTTCTCTGTCATGATGGAACCTTAAAAAACAAGCATTACAACCAACATAGATCATCATCTGTCTGTGATAGGCAAACACGAGCATCATGTTAGGATATTAGCTGTTGTTTATATGTTTCAAACTCGTTATTAGTTTGGTATTACTTTAATTTCTCGTGAGCTATCTGTTAACTAACATAAGCATTGACCAAAATAACTTATGTATGGGATTGTAGAGGTTGTTGAATTCTATCGAAATCATAGACCGACCAATGTTAGAACACAATTGAAAACCTGGAAGGACTAGGCGGCCTTTTCCTTCTAGTATGGGACTCTTCAAAATTGCGCATCCACGATCTCACACGTGGGACTCAAACCCAGGACCTTCGGTCTCGCACGAATGCCTAATATACGGACCATTGAGTTGTCCTCCAACGGTGTTAATGTGTAGCATCAACCGATTCACGGTATTGTGCGACTAGCTATTGTCTTCGGTGGGTAGCTGTCTTACACCCAACACAGTTGAACTCCACTAAAAGTTAAGTATTCGCGCGAGACTGAAGGTTCTGGGTTAGAGTCTCACGGGCATTTTTGTTGCTAAATTAAGTAACATAAGCAGTAATCTAATTTTACTGTAGAAGCAGTAGCTTAATAGTTAAGGCGTTCAAATTTCAACCATTAAGTCCTAAATTTGAAACATTCTGCTCCTACCTCATTTTATGTAACTAGGTAGTAAATATTATGGCGCACACCCAAGTACCTGATGAATGAATTAATTATACTTATGTATTATTTGACTTTTTCGTCGAGATTGTAAGCGAAAGCAAACCGTTGTTAAGTGGTATTATTTAGTTACTGCACAGTCTTTTGAATTCGTTTACTGTAGTGTAATGAATGAAGATTTGGTTTAGTATAAACCAATTTATTGTATTATGCAAAATCACACTGCATTTGTAAAATATGAGGACAATACATTAAGTACACTATTTATCCATCTTCATTGAATTGTCCCTTACAAACTCCTTTGTTCTTTTGTTCCTGTTTCATTTCGATCGCTTCCTGTTTTCTTTTGTCTTCTTTCCATTTTCCTCTTTTGTTCGTAGGAAGTCTGCATTTGATTCCTGATATACAATACTCATATCTGTCAGTACAAGTAGTATACACCACAATATGATAACACAAAATGTATAGATTCATTTTAATAAGACTGTAAATAGAAAAAAAATGAATAAATCAGTTACATCTCAACATACTCATGTACAATTGTGAGACTCTTCTATTATATCTGGAATAAAATTGGTTGCTATCATTGTTCTGTATATTACCAGCACATCTGACCCTATTACACTTTGATTTCTCTGTATGTTTTTAGCAATTAACTGGTTTAACTACAACTGCAAAATGTGCTTCTGACTTGTTAGAAAAAGAATTTTGTCATAATGAAATTAAAAAAGTATCTCATAGTAAAGTTTCTGAAAAGCCAGTTGTTTTAGTCATTGATGAATTGGATTTGTTATGTACTCGTCGACAAGACATACTTTACAGTCTTTTCGATTGGCCTACACGCCATAATAACCATCGCGTTTTAATAGTATTGGCTATTGCCAATACCATGGATCTACCGGAACGTTTACTTCATCCACGCGTAGCCAGTCGTTTAGGCTTAACTAGACTTACTTTCTCACCTTATTCTCACGAACAACTTGCTCAAATTGTGCGACATCATTTATCGTCTTTATCAAATATGTTTCAGGTAAGTGTTTTTTACTTGATAACTGTATTTTTAGAGCTCCCTTATATTTTCCTATACATAGTTATGCTTAACTCAGTTTTTTCAGATATGCACTATATCCTTTCTAGTGTAAAGGTTGTCAGAAATGATTCATTTCAAATATCTGTTTCACTATTTTTACTCGAATTTATAAATTTAAATAGTTAAGCAGATGGATAAATTTCAATCACTTAGATTTACTTTTTATGTATTTTACCCTCCAATTAAAAACCGAGTTCATTGATCACTAACCCACCACTGCCTCATTCATCATGTTGACATCAACCATAGAAATTATTTATTATTTTAGTTATAACCTTTTTCATTATTTTGTTAGACGAATATCTTGAAGTCATTTGTATTTGTTTGTTTTATTTATTTAAACACATAAACATTGGTACAAGGAGGCATCAAATATGTATGCACCACACAAATCTTTCGATTTGTATGGGGGCTGGAATACTGCTCGGGCGCCCAAACCGAAGCAAGTGGTTTTCTTAGGGGGTCACTCCCCGAGCCTTTGACCTAGAAGTCTATTCCACAAGACAGTGGAGCAACGTTAGGAGGTGAAGTCCCATGGTAGCCGGTGACCAGCGGTAGGTTCATACGCTATTTGTTCCCTCAGGATGCTGGAGCTCATGTTCACCATTGGTTTGGAATCAGGGTTTTCCAACTCCTCTAGGTGGATCCTCCATATCTACCGACCCGGTTAATGGATCGGACATTCGCTTTTCGTCCGCTCAATTTCGTAAACAACACTCCCACCACGAGGACGATGTGTGTAAAACTTCCCTGACAGTAGCTGTATACTCATGGTCATATGAGAGTATTTGGAAAGCGGACTCTCCTCACCCTCGGTCGTACCAGGTGCTGTAGCTATTTCAAAGTGATGTGACAATGTGTATGTACACGTTCTGTGCGTTGAGTAGTGTGCCTGTATTAAAAAACCCTCTTGTTGAATTCTTATACTTTTGCTGAAAATTTTTAGACCTGTTTCATACACTTAAAGAAACTCAATGAATCTTTTGTAGTGAACATGGTATCATGTATCTTACTAACTAGTAGATTCTATTATGATACTGACAGTTTGCAAGAATTTTAAGGTACCCAGATTTCCGATATCCACATAACACTGCCCGAAAAGTTTCATGAATAATGCGAAGCATCCAACCGTAAGTTAGGGAGATATAACATGGTGATGATTTCACAACTTATGATGGATTTGTTGAGTTGGTTATTGTTGTATCAGTTTTATATTATTGAGATGTCACAAAGATGTTTTTATTCCGGTTTGTCATGCTTCCTATGGATAATTTCACAGTATGTGATTTCAAGCTCGCAGGGTCTATTTCATTGCCCAATACATACGTACGATCGGTTTACAGAGGATTTCAGGGGCGTTATCATTGAGAGGCTACAACATAGGAGATTACTGATAAGCTTTTTTATTTGTGATTGAGCTGTTCAAATGACTACTGGACATTGTGCAGACTATTGCAACGATACTGTATTTCGATGTAATATGTACTGAAGGAAGAAATCCTCTAGAGTGGGGACTTTCTTCACTCGACCCCGATTGACACTAATGGTAATTGTTAGAAGCTAGATAATAAGAGTGCTAGTAACACTGGCCGTAACCTTTAAAAAGGAAGCTTCGGCAGTTTCGTGGTTTGAGTACTGTAGAGAAATATTTGCGACAAAGGTGATGACCTTGAATCAGCAGTTTGGAGGAATCGGGGGAATCGTAAAGATCGATGAAACAGTAGTTATAAATGCAAATTCAACAGAGAAAGAAGTGCTAAAGAAGACTAGGTACGTAGTACTTCCTCAAATACACTTAGGTCATCACACAAAGGGACATTTTCAGCAGTTCAGAAACTGGCAGGCTACAACGCTAATACAAGCTATACGGGAGTATGCGCAACCGAGTAACACAACATACACGGACGACTGGAGAGCATACACCAGCAATATAGAAGCAATGTGGCCGAGACTAAAAGAATCCTTATGAGCTTATCACGGCTTTAGTGGTAGGTTTTTGTGAAGTCCCATATATGAGTTCCTGTACCGTATACATCACGATTTCAGAACTGTAGAACCTCTTTCTAACCAGGAAAAGTTTTTAAATCATGCTAGGGTAGTGTATCCAGTCTAAATTTTCGGCTTTGTTTAGTAAATTCTTACTCGATACCAACTGTTTTTTGATAGCCTGAAATTTCTAAGTCACTTGAGATTCGTTCAAAGGTCGTTCATAAATTAAACTATTGCCCATTAATTGTGTAGAATTACTTTAATAACTTTGATTTTACACTTTCCGCTCCATTATACAGCTCGGTCTATTATTTAGGCGTTCCGCATTTTTTTCAACCACTTCATTTATTCCACTAGTTGTATCTGGGAGACATTTCTCATTGACTCACACATTCTGTATCGTTTTCTCACACCTGTACTAAAAAACTGACTTTCATCCTCTGAATGGCTTTTTCTTGCCCTTCTGAATTTCAGGGTAATCTCGAAAAGTATTGTTCTGCTTCGTCAACCTATATAATGTAGTTGACTATCGTTTATTTTTCTTAGACTGAAACAGACTTAGACAAAGACCTAATTCATCTGTTGGGAGACATGTATTTACTAATCTCATTCTCCTGCATTTCTTATCTCATTCATACGCATTTAAATGTTCATAATTCCTTTCTAAATCATTTTTTCTTTTACAGCCTAAAGCACTTGAGTTGGCTGCACGTAAGGTAGCTGCTGTTTCTGGTGATGTGCGACGCGCTCTTGATATCTGCAAAAGAGCTGCTGAAATTGTTTCATCTAATGGGAAATGTAACAAAGAAATAGATATTTCGCATATCAATGCCGCTTTAAAAGAGATGTTCACTACACCGAAATCAGAAGCTATATGTGCCTGTTCATTATATGAGAAATTGTTTCTTCGTGCTGTTATAGCTGAATTTCAGGCACGTTCCACAGAAGAAGCTCGATTAGACCGGTGTATTCGTCAAATGTTCGCACTTTGTCGAATTGAAGGTTAGTAAATTTCTTGTAACTACTTCTCATATCGCTAACAAAAGTCAACACATGTACATTAAATGATTAGTTACAGCCCTCTTTTACGCTAATTTTATTCACGGATTTTGTAAAATTTACGTTTTCTTCATTTGTCTATCAATTATAATTAGAGTTCGCATTCGTCAGTGAATTCTTTCTGTGAATATTCCCATCGAAATCCCTCATCTTTCCATTACGATCCTAGTTCTAGTATAGGGGATATATGTGAAGTAATCACTATTTGTATAAGGATACAATTATGTGCACCATTGCTGCTAGTTTAACCTTCTCGTATCATATAATTTATATCAGTCAGTTACAACGTAGGACCAGGCACATATGTGCATCGGTCCAAGTTGCCACATCTCATTAGCACAGCAAGATGAACACCAAATTCATAGAAGCGATCAACTCAATGGTGTAATATATAAAGGAAAGATTGGATATAAGGATATAGTACAGAAAGAAAGTTAGTTCACAATTGATTGATCACTGGATGACCTATGTCATGCGTGTCTAGTCCTTATTATTAGTGTAGATCGAATGCTACCGATCATGTTGCAATGTGGCCACCAGTCTAGGTGACTCGACTTGTAGAAAGGAAGATATGTATACACTGACGCCATTGTGATCGATTCTGAGCCATGTCACCAAGAGTCTCCAACCATTGGTTACGATAGTCACGCGGACCCCAACCAGGTAGTCTGCATCTACCAACGTGGCTCAGACTAGAAGTTAGTGACTTCAAGCACTGATGCCATGTTTTAGTTTAGTCGCCCCTAACATTCTTCCAACCATCCCTAACACCAGTTAGCATTGCGCATCGTGGTAATCAGTGTTCAGGCATAAAGTAACACGCAGCCCAATCATCTCAGTCGATGAAGATTCACGACCTCACCAACTGATTTTTCATCATTCCCTAATGCCCTGCGTCTAACCTCACTATTACTTACCCGGTGATCCCAGCAGATGCGAGCAATATTTCTAAGGCACCTGTGGTCAAATACTAGTAACTTACGAGTATCTTCTACTCTTAATGGCCACGTTTCGCAGTCGTAAAGTAGAACGGAACGAACCGCCGCGCAGTATTCTCGTCCCTTAATTGATAGACGAATATCTCGCCTGCGCCATAGATGACGTAAGTTGACCAAAAGCCAAACGAGCTTTTCGAATCCGTGCTGATATTTCGTCAGACACCAACCCATTAGGGCTGATCAGACTTCCAAGATAAGTGAAGTTGTCGACGCGTTCGATTGCTTCACTCCCTATCCTTGTTCAGGTGTTGACGCAGACCAGTCCTGAAGCAACAACTTGCATTTAGAGGGGGAGAGGCGCATCCCAAACATCCTGGCATTGTTGCTCAGTGTTACCAGAAGACTCTGCATTTTATTAGTGTCTTCACCAAACAGGACTATGTCATCTGCGTATTCTAAGTCGATAAGTGGTCCTCCTGGTAGGAGATCAATGTCCGAGAATTCAGTCGACAAGAACGTTATTTCCATCAGTAGGTCTATGATGAAGTTAAACAAAAATGGAGAAAGTGGTCATGGAAATATATACGACTGCTATCAGGCATTTAAGAAAGTATGAACGTGGATCAAACAACTAACCACACAATCAGATGAACCAAATCCTTTTCCTGTTTCTCATCATCTGGGTAGTAAGACAGCAGGTTAAAAAATTGATTTAGATACATGCATGGTCATGAGTATGTTCTTATTACATGGTAATGGAACATTCAGTGTCTTATCGTCGTAGAAGACTTAATTAGTTCATTCCTAACCCTGAGAATAGTTAAAGTGTGCGATTAAAACCAGAAATCTTAATGCACTGATTTTCTTGACCACGCATTCCATAGGTAGATCTAAACTGATGGACTACGAAATACAGATTAGTCATTCAGTAAAGAATGACTGACCAAGCATAAATGTGAATTCGCCATATTAGACGATGTCTCTCCATATGCTTAAAATTAGTGTTTGTTACAAATAAACGATTGTCAGAGCGTAGTTGTAGCAGACGATCACCATTATCTTTTCGCTGAGCCGGATTACCAAAATATGCACCTAAATTTCTTTCTGTTTGGTTTAAGCTACCTACTTGGGCATTAAAGTCACTTGCTACAAGTACTATGTCCGAAGGTTTAGCTTTATGAAGAAGTTCGGAAAGCTTTCTGTAGAAGTCATCTTCAACTTCATCCGAACGGCAGTCAGTGGGAGCGTAGACAGAAACGACGAAAAGGCAATGACGTGTTTCCTTGTCCTTTCGAGTTCTTACGGAACTGTTTAGCCGAGCAGCGCATAGACGACTGTTAACGGGGATCCACTCTAATAGCGCTTGTTCCGCCCTCATGCTTAGTGCTATGCCTACACCTAACAGTCCACGAGAACTAGCCATCGGGTCGCTAGATACACGGAGGGTGTATCTCATTGGCTCTCCGTTTTGGCGAGGTGAGGCGAAGTGAATGACCACGCTAGGATCCTGTATGCGTGTTTTGGAGACACAGCATACATCAATCGTACGAGATTCTAGAGTCTCAGCCAAGGACGCCTTCTGGCAGATTTGACATAGGGTGCGTACGTTGAAGGCTCCAGTGTGTAGTTTAGAGTGAGGTTTCAATGGACTTGGGACAGTGTTTTGCTCACTAAAAGGAAATTGGATTAGGGGTGGTCTCAGTGACCTGAGAGCGTGACCGCAGTGCCAAAGGAACAACTGCTTGAGGTCGGTCACACACAACCTTTTCATGAGTAGTTTTTGTGTTAGTTCTGTACTTGTTAAAACCTTACCGCCGGAGACGGGTGTCCGTAGGGTAAGGCGAGGTGTGCATTTTTATGGTGGACCTTTTCTAACCCCACCCCTCCTTGTGGGGAGGCAGCATCGCTGTCATGATGGTTATCTGAAGGAAACACCTTACCGCCGTCACACCTCTGTACAGTCAACAGTACGACTTCGCCTTCGGACCCTAGGTTTGTTGCTTTTAGTCTTACCACTTTTCAACCGACCTGTCTGGCATGGTAGTGTAGTGTACAAGAACACCAATGGGAACAGTCGAACGTACTTAACAGCAAATTAATAAAATCCAACAATCATAAAGCAAACGCTTAATTTGCAAAATGTTTATTAGTTGTCACAAAATGACCCAGACTTCATTGTTCTTACATTTTCATACAAATTGCATTCTGTTTTCATTCTTTACTGTTCGATCTTGTCTCTCTGCTGCCAAACGTTCTGTTCACGACTAACATCACACACTACTTGTATCTGTATAAGTAGCACATACCACAGTATGACCTTGAGGGACGATTGGTACAGCCAGTATAGCTCGATTGGGTCATCACGATAGGCAAGCCCGACCACCACGTCAAGGTAGCAACAACGGTCGGGATATAATTTATATGGCAACTTTCTGATATGATGGAAAGAAAAGTCAATTTTCGATTGAATTACTCATTATGAGTTTTGTTCAACATTACATCCGTTTTGATTCAACGTGATGATCATTCACTGTAGTATTTGATTTGCTTTCCCAGTATGATATAATATACGATATTCTTGTATTCAGTTGACATGAACTATGCTCAGTAAGTGATTCGTGAGTATGTGATTTAATCCTAATTGCTAATCAAAATGGGTGTACAATCAATATATAAACCAGGATCGATCATCACTATTATCATCGTCGTCGTCATAGTGTTTTGTGGCTAATAAATCTTCACTTATACAGCACATCAATCAGCGACGACCAAATATAACTTTCGGACTCTTTGGTGGTAGAAAATTAACTACTGGCCTTTTTTGGTCATCAGTGACAAATAAAAGTTTATGCTGAGTAATATTGTCACAAGTTAATTGTTCACCAAGGGCATTATTAAGTCAAGGACTTTCATTTATATCAAGCTTTTTGGTTCTTTTCAGGTGTTCCATGTCCAACCACATCAGAAGTATTTGCTATTTGTGCTAGTCTTGGAGCTCATAAGCTATTGTTAACTGAAAGATCGCGATGCGATATTTCAATGCTTGTCCGTCTCAATTGTACAAAGTCGGATATATTATACTGTTTAAATCAGCAATCTGACTTATAAATCTAACATATACTGGACGAATTATTCTTAACTTAGAAAGAGATGTTTCAATAGACGATTATCCAATCAATCATCTGTATATCCGAGATTATATTGTATTTTTCATTTCAAAAACGATATACTGATGTTCATGCATTTCATTAAATTTGTCGGTAGTATATTTAATTGATTCTAGTCCGTGTTTACAAACTTACCATGGATAAAAACTAAGAATTCTTATTTTCTTTATGAACCAATGCAGTTAATAAACTAGATTAGAGCTAGTTTAGCATATCTCTATTATATCTATTAAATAAGCGTTAATTAACTCTCCCATTTCTCGATAATCCCACATATTTCTAAATTCTTTTGTTAAATCTGTTCAAATCATTTTTTACTGACAAACTTTTTTAGTTGCAATATGTTATTGTCTTTAGCCAGCTTTAACTGATCGAAAATAACTATAAATTTAAATCCATCCTCCTAATGAATAGATGATAGTTTTCATGTTTCTTCCTAAAAATGCTTGCTTTGAGTCATTCTACAACAGTTTCATAGCGAAGTTGTCATCTAAAGAACGCTATCTCATTCAAATCTGATATAACAAACGTTAATTGAAAAATGTGAAAATAAAATTCACTTCTGTGTAATTGAGAACAATTTTTGATGTCATACGATAGTTGGCGCATTGAAAAAAGTACTACGCTCTTACTGCGTTATTCACTACCCCGTTACCATTATAATTCCACTAGATCTGTAGTTAGACTAAACGCCACGGTTGCAGATATTGCATTTATTAGTGAGAAGCCGTGACCAGTGGAGTTCAAACAGGTCTGTTGTGGACGGTGGCGCAATTCCGTGGATTGGTTGAAGTTAGAAATTAACACCGCTAGGTGGCGGCTCAGTGATCTAAAGGTTAAGCGTTCGCGTGCGAGACTGACGGGTCCTGGGTTCGAATCTCACGGGGTGGGATCGTGGATGCGCACTGCTGAGGAGTTCCATACTAGGGTGAAACAACCGTCCAACGCTTCCAGGTTTTCAGTGGCGGTGTAGCTTCAATTGACTCATGAATTCAGTTATTAAACTTAATTATATCATGTAAGGGTAAGCCTAGTGGTTCTCACCGACAATATATATATATATATATATATATATATATATATATATATATATATATATATATATATATATATGGGGAGCGTACGTCCCACCATCGCTTCATCACGCATATAAGATAACCATATTATTGATAGGTTAGGTCAGTCAGACTTGAATCAGACGACAACCACACACGATTGACCGGAATTCGACTCCATTGTTTAAGGGAGTATACGCCATTGGTTGAAGATATGAGTCTCTTTTCTGAGGGACAAAGCTGTGTGAACGGGTGATTGTACATATATTTATAGATTCTGTTGAGCCAGTAAACCTTCATAACATGGAATAAGTCCTGAACAGATTAATGTTGTATTAGTAAAATATGAGGTTAGGATCATATTCTTCGTATAAAGTTCCTACACTAAGACATTTCATTTGACCCGAAAAGTACAAAAAGTAGTATTGATCGCTTCATATGCAAAATATATTGTGCTAGTGAGGCCTACAACTACTTGCATCAAGAACTTTGTGGTATTTCATTGTTTAGAAATTTAGAGATGCTAGAAAAACAATGGGATACACTAATTTGTTGTAGTTCAATCAAATATTAGAAGTGATTCCCGTAAACTTAAAAGTATGTCGGCCGTGGATCACTGCGTAGTATTTGTTCAATAGACAAATAGGAATTCTAGCTTCACAAAACATATTACTAGTCTTACAGCCTCATGGTTTATGATACAATTAGTTTTCATCTTTAATTGGCGTAGGTGTATTCGTTGTCTTCCCTCAAATCCTAATGTTGTGAATCCCTTAGTTCTTTTTTATTTCACTAATTGAGAATTCCTTAAATCGTATCATCGATGCCTAATTTTTTCTATTATGACATACTGTTATTACCTATATTACTCTGGAATTTGCCCTGGCAATTTTATCTCGCTGTGCTAATGTGGTGTGGCAGTTTGAACCAATGTACACACGTACCTGGTTCTATGTTTCGCATAACTAAATGACTGGAATCAACTTTGCACAATTAATATCCGTTGATCGTTTGGGATTGAAAAACTACTTACCGGACAACACAAATAATTCATCCCTTCATAAATCTAATGAGTCCTTATCTAAATGACAATATATATATATGGGGAGCGTGCGTCCCACCATCGCTTCATCACGCATATAAGATAACCATATTATTGATAGGTTAGGTCAGTCAGACTTGAATCAGACGACAACCACACACGATTGACCGGAATTCGACTCCATTGTTTAAGGGAGGATACGCCATTGGTTGAAGATATGAGTCTCTTTTCTGAGGGACAAAGCTGTGTGAACGGGTGATTGTACATATATTTATAGATTCTGTTGAGCCAGTAAACCTTCATAACATGGAATAAGTCCTGAACAGATTAATGTTGTATTAGTAAAATATGAGGTTAGGATCATATTCTTCGTATAAAGTTCCTACACTAAGACATTTCATTTGACCCGAAAAGTACAAAAAGTAGTATTGATCGCTTCATATGCAAAATATATTGTGCTAGTGAGGCCTACAACTACTTGCATCAAGAACTTTGTGGTATTTCATTGTTTAGAAATTTAGAGATGCTAGAAAAACAATGGGATACACTAATTTGTTGTAGTTCAATCAAATATTAGAAGTGATTCCCGTAAACTTAAAAGTATGTCGGCCGTGGATCACTGCGTAGTATTTGTTCAATAGACAAATAGGAATTCTAGCTTCACAAAACATATTACTAGTCTTACAGCCTCATGGTTTATGATACAATTAGTTTTCATCTTTAATTGGCGTAGGTGTATTCGTTGTCTTCCCTCAAATCCTAATGTTGTGAATCCCTTAGTTCTTTTTTATTTCACTAATTGAGAATTCCTTAAATCGTATCATCGATGCCTAATTTTTTCTATTATGACATACTGTTATTACCTATATTACTCTGGAATTTGCCCTGGCAATTTTATCTCGCTGTGCTAATGTGGTGTGGCAGTTTGAACCAATGTACACACGTACCTGGTTCTATGTTTCGCATAACTAAATGACTGGAATCAACTTTGCACAATTAATATCCGTTGATCGTTTGGGATTGAAAAACTACTTACCGGACAACACAAATAATTCATCCCTTCATAAATCTAATGAGTCCTTATCTAAATGACAATATATATATATATATATATATATATATATATATATATATATATATATATATATATGGGGAGCGTGCGTCCCACCATCGCTTCATCACGCATATAAGATAACCATATTATTGATAGGTTAGGTCAGTCAGACTTGAATCAGACGACAACCACACACGATTGACCGGAATTCGACTCCATTGTTTAAGGGAGGATACGCCATTGGTTGAAGATATGAGTCTCTTTTCTGAGGGACAAAGCTGTGTGAACGGGTGATTGTACATATATTTATAGATTCTGTTGAGCCAGTAAACCTTCATAACATGGAATAAGTCCTGAACAGATTAATGTTGTATTAGTAAAATATGAGGTTAGGATCATATTCTTCGTATAAAGTTCCTACACTAAGACATTTCATTTGACCCGAAAAGTACAAAAAGTAGTATTGATCGCTTCATATGCAAAATATATTGTGCTAGTGAGGCCTACAACTACTTGCATCAAGAACTTTGTGGTATTTCATTGTTTAGAAATTTAGAGATGCTAGAAAAACAATGGGATACACTAATTTGTTGTAGTTCAATCAAATATTAGAAGTGATTCCCGTAAACTTAAAAGTATGTCGGCCGTGGATCACTGCGTAGTATTTGTTCAATAGACAAATAGGAATTCTAGCTTCACAAAACATATTACTAGTCTTACAGCCTCATGGTTTATGATACAATTAGTTTTCATCTTTAATTGGCGTAGGTGTATTCGTTGTCTTCCCTCAAATCCTAATGTTGTGAATCCCTTAGTTCTTTTTTATTTCACTAATTGAGAATTCCTTAAATCGTATCATCGATGCCTAATTTTTTCTATTATGACATACTGTTATTACCTATATTACTCTGGAATTTGCCCTGGCAATTTTATCTCGCTGTGCTAATGTGGTGTGGCAGTTTGAACCAATGTACACACGTACCTGGTTCTATGTTTCGCATAACTAAATGACTGGAATCAACTTTGCACAATTAATATCCGTTGATCGTTTGGGATTGAAAAACTACTTACCGGACAACACAAATAATTCATCCCTTCATAAATCTAATGAGTCCTTATCTAAATGACAATATATATATATATATATATATATATATATATATATATATATATATATCTCCTTGCCTAATAAATTAGATTAGATTTTGCTTTTTACATTTGCCTATACCACTATTCTCTTTACAAAATGTGAACTTGACGTCTTTAAGTCATATTTGTCAATCAAATATGCATCGAGTTGACAGATAATGATTTAGAGAACGATAAAAAAACTTTTGTTTTTGTAGATTCATCAAATGAAAATCATGATAGAGTTTGTGTTATTATTAATAATCAATAATAGAAATAAACTGATGAGGCTGAGCAAGAATTATAGTTACTAAACACCTTCATGTAGTATAATCGGAAAACTCTTTATCATTATCAATGGGTAGACGAATGAATGGTTCATTGGTTTCTTTACGATTCATCACAACTACGATTGAACACAGTAAAATCATGAATGAAACGCATATAATTGAAATAAATAAAATAAATCTTAAATCAAATATGATCCATTTCCATAAATATGACCAACTATTCAAATTCAAAAGGCGATTGGCAACATCAGGTTTCAGTATGTTTGAAATACGTTCTAGGCTACCATTGTTTGTATTTGGTTGAATATTTAATAGTGCACACATTAGTGGATAAACGTCTACAGCATGGACAGTAGGAACGCTCTCAGCAATCTTGAAAGAAGGGCCACTTGCAATGAAGAATGGATACATTTCAGAGAAATCTGTTGCATAACCATGATCACCAGCTAATAGACATAGGGGAAAATAGAACAAAAGTTAAAATCAGTAAAAGTAAAGTTTTCTTGTTTACTACTCAACATTATTGATAGTGTAGAACAAATGAAAATATCCGAATTAACTTACAAACATTGGCGTAAGGATGTGAAGTGTTCTTTACAATTTTCCAACTTGGCTTAGCAATAAGTATCAATGGAGGCATACGAGAGTTGGTTATGTTGAAATTCAGATAGGTAGGAACTTCATCTCTTCGATACACATCTAATTTTGGATGCGCATTTTTTAAACGTTTGTACACTTCTTCGAATTTTCCTAATTATAAGAAAATGAGTAAAAATTATATAACTGTTACATTTTTACTTGTTCTTCTTATTAAATATATGTTACCGACTGATCTCTGAATACTGGTAAGTTTGTCAAGATTTGGCATCAAAACAATTGATTGAACTAACTATAATCATAAGAACACTCCTCATAAGGTACAAATTATAAGCATTACACGTAAGTATTGTAGTAAACTGAAATTTCTCATCAGTACTTATTCCTAACAGTAAGTTAGATATAAATGATAAGAAGAGGGTTTCGAACAAGTTAAAAAATCAGGTAACCATAATGAGTGAAAGATAATTAGTGTATTTTATAATGCATAATCGTAGTTGATGAATGAATGTAAAATCGGCGAGGTACGTTTTACGTATTTATTTGTCACAGATTTGTAAGACTCGAGCACTAAACTGATAGTTGGACACCAGATAGCTATTAAGTAGGTTAGTTTACTATAACATACAATGTTCATTACTTATTAAATTATATTGAGTTTTATGGGGTTAGATTTGTTTAGTTGGAAAAAATCAGATGAAATTGAAGTCAGATAACAATTAGTTGGTTGATTACAGAAAATGCACCGCTAGTGAGGATCAGAACAAATTTCCTTCAAAGTTTGTAAATCATTCGTGTTTAAATCAGATCTAGAGTGATCTTATTGCAAACTAACAGATCCTGAGTTTGATCCCACATGAACTGTTTACAGCGTCGTTCGATTTATCAAGCGGGATGATACAGTAGCTGAATGAGTCCTGATTTTTAATGGGTATGAGATAATCCCTCGCTAAAGAAAATCTGAGAGAGTAAAGTTTATTACAATAAGTGAAGTTTTTTTCCGATAATGAAGGACTGAATACTTACCAGGTGCAGGATAAAGAAATCCCATAGTTGATAATTGAGTATAATTGTACAAAGAATTATCGATATATTTGTCCAACGGAATAAGACGAGTATTTGATGTTTCAGACATACCATGATCAGCAGTTAGAATAATATCTACTTTATCAGAAAGGCCACGTTTTTTAATACCGTCTAATAGATGACCAAGTGTTTCATCTAAGGTTTGAACAACTTTTGCAACATGTTTACTATTTGGACCGTATGAATGACCAGTTTCATCGGGCTCTTCAAAATAAGCTAAAATTAAATTTAAATGATATTTAGGATTTTTCAACCACCATAATATATCTCTGATTCGTTGATCATATGCATAACGGTGTTCATAGTCATTAAGTAAAGCATATTGTGAAACTCGTTGGAATGGTAAATCATCGCTAACAAACTGATCAGTTAAAGGCCATAAAAGTGAGCCAGCATAGCCACCATTTTTTTGTAATGTAACCCATATAGGTTCAGGCCAATCAGTTAACCACGGAGCATGATTTAGGCTTTCCTGATCATATATACTGAAAATTTCATTTGGCCATTTCTTATCCAGTAGACTATTCCCAACAACTCCATGATTTTCAGGATACAAACCGGTAATCAATGTACGATGATTAGGTAGAGTAATTGTAGGATAAACATTGATCGATTCCATAGCTCGCACACCTTCCGATATTAAACGATCGAAATTCGGTAATGCATTAGAGCCCAGATGAGTTTTAGCCAATTCTATATAATCATGACGAAATCCATCCATACTAATTAGTAAAACAGTTTTGCCGTGATTAAAAAGTCTTGATAAGGGTCCTTTTATATTCCATCGATATAAATTTATTTCTTGTGGTATCAAAATCACGAGAATAAGGGCACCGAATAGCATCATTACAATGCCTGATATAATTAATGTGAAGTAAGCGCAATGAGTTCTACGTTTGTAACGACGAATATATTCGTGATTTATTTGATAGTATGGAGGAGGTAAGTCGCTGTCATTTTGTATTATTTGTTCCGTTGACATATTTACTGTAATGAGATAAAATAAAAGAGGAAAATCACAATTTTAATATCTTCCATATTAAACAATTAAAGTATTAAGAAGGAAACGATACGTAACCTGGATCAACCTGTAAGAAAGTCTAACATCTGGTACTTCTATTTAGCTAGAGAGAGACGCAAACAAGTGAACCAAGTTTTTTCCAATTACAGAATACCTTGATTACACTAAGTACAAACGACTATTTTTAAATATATCATAGAATTGGTAGCTTCTTGATGCTCATTTCGATAGAAGCCCCAGTCATCGAAGATCCGTGAGAATGGAAGCAAATCAAAATTAACAAGGCTTTCAGAACACACAATAAACATAAGATATTAAGTAATGATAGAACTGAGAAATGTAGACTGCCATTGTGTTGCACAATCACAGAAGTCATTATAAAATAACCCGCAAGGTATACGTGGTAATAACATCGCTACTATTTCCTAGATGTTCAAGAACAACCCTATATATTTCAAACTAACAGTGGCAACATAACTCGGCATTATAAATGCCTTAAACGTACATGAAGAAACTATTTGTTACAGAAATATGTACCAGAAAATAGAGTACGTTACTGCTCATTACTATTGGGTTAATTATAGTAACCACTGCCTTGAAACATACATAAAGACTATTGATAATAATATATCTATAAATCAAATGTGTGTGTTCTTATTCCTACGGAGGATATACATAGGCAAAATCTAAAACCATTTGACAAAGTTGAAGAGAAAAATAAACCAAAAACTTAAAGTAGATTAAAGTAACATAAGTTGTCACTAACAACTATAGATTAACAAATATGATCATTTGGACAATAGTATAGATATTAGAAAAGTCTGTAATACAATAACTTTCTTGAAACTGTATTACCTAAGATAAACTACAAACTAGCTTATTCTCTTAATTCCCAGAGGACAGGTATTATAGTAAATATTATTCGCCACAGAATAATACTATTAGATTCTTTGTCCTTGGTAGTAACAGATATCTGATGTATGGGTCACAAATTAACACAACTTCTGCTTTAATGTGTGCCTTGTAACAGTATTTATTGTACAACAAGCACTAGTAAAAATGGGTTTCAGGACCTCAGACTCAACTTACTAACATTTGAATTAAAATTGGAAAGATAATATATAGTACTAAAACGAGATATGGTAATCCTGCACAAATTTATTTAGAAAGGTGTGATTTGGGCTAGCTCATGGTACTTTATTGTGCTAAACAAGTAGGTAGGAGAGTGATAAAACCATAATAATAGATTTTAGATGAGGGAGAAGAGTTTTGTTGATAATTGGACCCAGGCAAGAAACTAGCCAATGAATTTGTAGACTATCAACAATTAAGGACGGGATACATGTTATGGGTACAGCGCTACTAACCTGTAAATTGTACCACTCTGTTTATCAAGCACCGTAGTAAGCTTCCAAGACACTAACGGCAACAGTCTATTTATCCACTAGCGGTACAAGCTTTGCCACTAGATGCATGGCCTCCCATCACAGTTCAGAAGACAACTCTGATAAATTACTAAAGACTTCAAGTTATACAGTTCGATATCGAAGACAGTGACGAAAATGTATTGCGTTTATTTCTTGACAGTAATACTGTTTCTCAGTTATTTTATTCTTACTGTGTACATTCCCGTATCTTTTTTTAAATTATTCTGCTTAAATGAGTGGTATTATGAATTGATTAAGTTTGGAAGTTCTAACCGAATAAATGAGTTATAATTGTTAGAAAACTAACCTATTGGTTCATCCCCAAAATGGTACATTGTGAATGATTGTACCTTAACTGAGTCAAGAATGAAATGAAGCAGTTGCACATATTTTACTGATCTCTAATCGATGTCTCCTGATGAAATACAACTTTATTTACATAACTGATTGAGGTGAATATAATTTTCGATAGTTCTTTACAATATATCATGAGTATCTAGGAGATTTTACAAATATACCTTAACTTATTCTGTTCATAATTACGATACATGAGAAAGATACATATTTAACAACTCCTTAAGAATTACACTGTACTATAATCAGCACATCGTTAATAAGACTTTCTCATTCTTTAGTTAAAAGAAAAAGCAACGTATACGCAATAATAAGCCATCATAGTATGCAATGATGAATGAATTGATTGATAAATGCAGTAGTAGTAGTATTTCATTTAAAGTCACTAAATGTAATCTTACAACAAAAGTATGTGTATTTCTACACAAAGACTATTCATTTTAATTATTCACGGAGGTAATGTAAATTCACCTTCAACTAAGAATGTTGTTTTACTGATGTTTGGAATAATACTCGGGGTGGGCAAGAGGAGGCAACAGACGAATTACACACCATTTCCTGATTGTTTTGAACGTATACAGTATAAACAATATTAAAGCTAGTGCAACATTCTTTTAAAAAAAATTGTCAGTGCGGCAAGTGAACGAATACATATCAATGAAAACATTCTCAACAATAACATGATACATGCAAACACAAACAGAATGATGAATAATTAACCACATTAGTAGTGCAAATAGATTTGTCGTTGATGTCACCTAAAGGTTGCAGTGATATAGATTCTCAATTAGTATTAAAAACAAATAATCAATTAAATATATTTTATTTGAGTCGTGTAACAGAATATACGAGTAAAGAGATCAATACATTTTCAGGTAATCCCGTTCATGTAAGCTCAAGGTATTTTCATTGACTATAGCCATGTAATTTAGACACGGATGATGGAGCACGTCGGAAGAATAAAGATGATCCTCTAACAAAAGCATCCTATAAAGTAAAAAGGTTAATTTATTAGTCTTTGTTTATGCATTGAACTAAAATAAGTATTTTTCACAAAATATGGTTGAACTATAGTCCGGAGGAGCACGTACAAATTTATATAATTTATCATTTCTCAAAAAAGCAATTTAAAGATGTTAAGCATATCATTTAATGTTTTATTTGATCAAGTAAATAAATACAGCCTAGTAATATATTATTTTAGAAAATATTATTTATCAAAAGTAACTAAAATGTGTGTGGCTATGATCTACTTTAATATTAATACTATTAGACAGGATAACTTCCTTGTATTCATAAACAACACTCCCACCACGAGGAGGCAGTGCGTAAGACTTCCTTGACAGTGGCTGCATATGCGTGGTCATGTAAGAGCATCTGGAGAGCGGACTCTCCCCACCCTTGACCGTACGACGGTATTTGGAGGCAGGTAACCAGATAGTATCACTAGCCCTTACAACTAGAGTGTAACTCATACCCAAGTACGTGGTGAATGAGTTCATTAAAATCAATAGGCTAGTGAGTTAATAGTACACCTGAATCTATGTCTAACCTGGTTTAACGTAGATGTTAAGCAATAATAATATAAGATCGATATACTTCAATAAGATCGAATGGAGTTATTTACTACAGTATATCACACCCATTATGAGAATGATATTATTGTAATTACTGAAGCATTAGAAGATACAGTAACTCGTAACAGGCTTAAAATGATACATTTAACTGTGTTAAGCAAAAGCTGAAGAAGGATACTCCCAGTGAATGAAGTGACTGGCAACACTGTTATCAATGATTATATCAAAAAATAGAAAGATTAACTATAAACGATTTTATGAGGTTGGTCAGCGGAGAATGTAAAGTTTTATGTGTACGTAGTTTTGTTGAAGATGATTAAATTGCTCAAAATATTCTAACATTTACGTTTTTTGTTTTTATTTTGTAAATTTAAATTCGTGCTTTTACCCTCCTAAATTTTATACGTGAAGTACTAGTTATTTATACTGGGGCTAAATCCTTGTTTTCTCTATTGGTTGGTTGTTCTTGTAATATGTTAGTTTATTGTTGTACTTTAGGAGCATTTTAAAGGCAATTACATATAATTGCTATACGCTTGCATCAACCTTCTGAGTAAGATTTGTTGTTTGGATTAGAGGTGGCTAGGAAGATCAAAAAGAGTTGTTGGGCTGTAACCTATCGTGGTAGATTGTGAAGAAAAATCTTTTCCCACATTAATTTCTCCGCGTTTTGATGCGATTTTTTAAGCCAATAGTACATAAATGACTCTTAATGAGGACTCAGTCGATTTGTACTGCCTTCGATTTGGCGTTTGGTCTGACACCGGACATCTACTCCACAGGGTCCCTGAAATAAGTGCAGGTGGAATAGATTTTCAAGATTGAGATGAAAAGCGAATTGTAGTACTTTTTTAGAGTTTTAGATACAGGTGTCAGATATACAACATACGCCAACATCGTCTTTCCAAAGACATGGTTAAATCTATTTACTGTCCGATTTGCATGACGGTAAGAACGCAGAATTTTAAATGACACAAACGGTTTTAGAAAAACTGCTATTAGAACTCGTAAATTAATGGTTACATGACTGCAGACCATTTAAACAGGACAGAATTCTAGGCAACAACAAATAAATTTAGAGTAGAAAGAGGTATACACAAAATGGAATGGAAAGTTTAGTCAGTATAAAACAAATTTTCCAATAGCAAAGTAATCGTAAATATTGCTCGGAAGAATAGTAAGGCAGAACGAATAGAACAGTTTATCCATCAATAGCTACCTTCGTATTTGTGTGTCGGCTAGGATACTGTCTAAAATCCCAAATCGAAGCAGAGGTTTGACTAAATAGACTACCCCGAGCGTTTGAGCGAAAGTTCCAATCAATAACGAAGTAACGTCAAGATATGTAGTCCCATGTTAGCCGATTCTGAATTTAATGCACACCATTGATTTATAATCACGGTTTCATAAATCCTCTAAACTGACTCTTCTTATCCAACAACCAAGTTTAAGTGCTGGGCATCTGCTCTAGTCTCGTCATCTCGGAAAAGGAACACAGAAACACACCAAACAAATGTCAATTGGACCACCTATATCGCAGCTAACTGAAGCTACAATGAAAAGACTGGTTGGTGAAATTCCGTAGACAATAAATTGACGCTAATGCTATTTTCCAGAGTGACACCCAAAACTTTGCTTAGAGATTGCAACACCATTAGAGATCAAATATGTATGGCTAGACTGAAATTTGTTTAACTACTGGTTTGGACAATTGACGTCAGATTGAGTTATATTGGTTAAAAAAGAAAGGTTGTACGACATAAATACAGAGAAACAAAAAACTTACAGATTGGCTGAGATAGGAATAACATTGCCACCAATTGTTGAATACAGGTACGACGTTAATACTGTTAAACAACAAGAAGTAAAATAAATCAATATCACTTAACATGATAAAAAACTTAAATGATGGAGGGATAATATTAAAAGACTGTTACCACATTTTGTTTAAAAATGCTATTATGAATATAGAAAATGTAGTAACCTAAAGAAACTCATCATATCATTTGTGAAAAATAAAGGCTATTCTGCAAAGAAAACTTTCATTTCGACGATATCATTTACTGAAGCTATTTAAGCATATATAAGTTAGTAAAATAGAAGAGTGTTAGATCAATTTACAAAACTGAAGTATAAAAAATGTGACTTAAAACTCGTTTTACGAGTGTATATCCTGAAATCACATTTGTACTTTGTACTAGTAGTAATGAGATAATACTTATCAAAATACAATCTGAGTAAGAACAGTTTTAATGCGTTTTGAGAATATAACAAATTAGTACAAATGAAGAGATAAACATTCTATAATAAAATATAAATCTGCTAATTTGTGTCTAAAATTTATTTTGGTCTATAATGTCCTCAACAATAAGTTTCCTTTGTCACACTATCAATAAGAAAAGACTTAAATAATAATGGAGTAAGAAATATCTAACCTTTGGTTAATAAATAATTGATCTTTGGTCAAAATAATATTAATTGATCAATCGCAACTTTTGACAGTGAAGCAAGATAGTTTCATTTTATCATGAAACTATTAACGTTTCATGAACTTAAATGTTGTAGAAATAATAAATAAAATTATAAGGTAAGAAGGTCTTTATTCATAGACGAAAATCGACTAAAGGAACAGGTAGACCAAGATATTAATCACAATTAAAGATCACAACAGTTTCATAAATAAAAACACACCACAATCACGTATATATACCACAGATTGTGTTCTAAAATATAACGTACGTCGAGTCACAAGCAGCCATAACTGTGGAGGTGACTGTGAATCCATGAGTGGCGCCACTTACCATCATCTGAAAGCAAAAGTTAAAGACATACATGAAAAGCAACTGGAAAAGATTTGAGTGACTATAAATGTCAACTTACTGTAAGTGATGTATAAAATCAGGTACAGATGGTGGTTGGAGGTGGTCGACAGGAAACCCTGGACCCGGGTTCGATTCGATCCCGTGTCACCCAGCTTCACAGTCACAGACGTTACCACTGAGCTATCCGGGCCGCGACCGACCTCCTGTAGGACTGACATGTAATCACAATTGATTGATCACTGGGTGACACGGGATCGAATCCGCCAGGGAGCACCAGTTCCCTCAAAGATTACAGGTACACCTTGCTGACGAGTGCCGAGTAGCACGAAACCCGGGTCCACGGTTTCCTGTCGACCACCTCCAACCACCATCTAATCTTACAATAGTGCCCAGCGGTGTCGAGTCACCTAGACTGGTGGCCACATTGCAACATGATCGATAGCATTCGATCTGCACTAATAATAAGGACTAGACACGCATGACATTGGTCAACCAGTGATCAATCAATTGTGAAAATCAGGTACATTCTACACAATACGCAAGTTACGCATCTTTTAATCAAGTAAAAACATTGTTTACTCATTAAAACTATACTCGTTTCTCATGTTGAGTAATTTGGCCTATGTGCTTTTGTACTCACTAACGTTACACTTACGAAACTGATCCTCAAAGTTTTAGATGTAGTGGAAAATTGGTACTGAACGAACCTTATTTTTGTTATAATTCAGTCGGTTTAGACATGACTCAACGATTATCAGCCGACGGAAATATTCATTTTGTCAGTTTTGGTTTGTAGTTAGCCATCTAGTATGTGAAGTTACAATTTGACATACAAACGCAAATTATTTTTAAGAGCGGTAATTATATTTATACCCATTATATTCTACTGAAAATAACTCTACGCTTACATACAAAGAAAACGTCAGTTAAGCACAAAGTAGAACACATCGGTTCAGGTTGTCATACCCCATTAACACTAAAAGATGTTGTCAGGGGTAATCCCAGATCAGTGAGTGTAGTAACAGTTATAACAGTAATAGAAAAGATCAGGCATCCAGAATATAATTCGATGAGAGTATAAACCAGCGAAATAATTTTAAAAAATCTATCAAGAATTTTTTTAATGAATACTGAGAGAGGAACTTTAAAAGTTTCTTTAATTTATGGAACTAATAAATGCAACTTCCTACATGCCGAATCGTAAAATAAATTAGAAATCAAATCATTTGCTGGTGCCTTAGACAACAAATCAGAAAACCAAATCTCAACAAGCAGAGAAAGACTCGAATTGATGATCAAGTAGTTAAAATTGAATGTCCAAACAGTCTATAGTTTTACTGTATTATCGACTAACTGATAAGGAAAAAATAACCCATTCACTAGGTATTAAGGTATAAGGGATTACGTATGAAGAGTGATTACACTACCTGGCTATCCAAACCGAAGTTCGAAACTTGGACGTCGTTGTTAGGATCGATCATACGCAAAATAGAACTTAACGTATTTGCCTTTGTTCAGGCTGGTGCACCACATCAAGACAGCGAAATGTCGGAGTAATATAAATAGTGACAGTATTAATGGTGGTGGAAAAGATTAACAATATATTATATGATTTGGAAAAATATGGATTCGTGGAATAAACTTCTAAAGATTATTTGGGAACCTAGTCTAAGAGAAGAGACAAAGAGCGAATTCACTGCGAACGATTCCGAGACGTTAATGGGAGTTTTCAACAAATGGTTAACATCGTGCGAACTCCAACCACGTAGTCTAAACCTAGTTACAGGACTCAAACCAACAGTCAGTAGCTTTATGGGTTGATGCAATGTCTTTATTTTCCCATCTCTAGCTTCCTTCCAGCCTACTTCTACACCAGACATTATTATACATCAACGTAGGCAGTGATTGTGCATACTTGATACACACCCCAACAACCTCAGTCGATGAAATACTAATTCCTCGTTAACCGGTTAGCAATTTTTACCTAGTGCTCTACGTCAAACCATAGCATCGTCAACTCAATGGTACCAGCATATGTCATTAATGCATTTATATATGATTTCTCTTTATTTGGTTAATAAAGTTCACGTGCATGACTTATTCTCCACAGTGGTTTTTTGCAAAAACGGTTGGCACAAAGTAGACAAAGAACAGTCATCACGGTTAGTGATAATATTCAATAATAATAAATAATTAATTCTTGAACTACTGAACAAAATTATGTGTACTCACCTCAGTTACAAAGGGAGTGTGTTTTTTCAAAGGAGGGTCGATACGGTCCATGAAAATATATTTATTGAAAAAATAGGCAAGACAAGCAGTCAACCAAACTGTAATAACTTCTCCAATTATTCTAGGTGTCAAACCACTAGAAAGGAATATCATTCAGATAAAACACACCTGAATAAACTTAAAAAGCCTTCATTTCTCAGTATAGTAGGAAAAGCATTGAACATATAACTGGAGGGAGACAAATATAGACTAAATTATTTGTTATTCATACTCGTATAATCGTGTCCCATTGATAAATTGCGACATTTGGCGAATCATTATGACTATTTTTTACGATGAAAAGACATCTAATATTTGAATACCTTGGAATGGATAACTAACAACTACACCCACTACTCGAGCAACAGTACATTTACTGGTCTGAAAGGGTAAGTTAGTTAAGAATGATATCAATCGAAATTACACTGATCAAAAAAATTCTGAATCCTCTATCAGTTTCGAAAAATGTTTTCTTTTCAAAAAAGTCCGGAGTTAAATACTTTTGCAAATAATAATTGTGTATTAAGCATTTTTGTACCTCAATAGTGATGTTGGTAGAGTAGGACTTAACAAATGACCCAATAATATTAGCAGGAAGTCCAATGGTGAAAATTCCATACAACCCAACCTCTTGGCGAAGTTTATGACCTTTAATTACAATCAGATAGTTGTTAGAGAAACTTGCAGTAAGTGAAAACACTTGGGTAGTAATATGTTTCATAGTTCGAATGTAGGATGTTACGTAAAGTAAATCGACGAACAGGAGGGAACGGTTCATACCCCAACTTGAAAGTTACATTTGAAATAATATGACTTACCAACATCATTGTCCTGGCATAAGTTAGTGGATGAGTTATGGCTGGTATGAACGACGGTATCAAACATTTATAGGTGGTTTCCAAATGATCCATAGTAATTAAGCTATTGAAGGAAAATGCATTAGCAGATCCAATGAAATGAACCAGGAATACAATACAGAAGTTAATCGTGGTGACTGAACCTTGCAGACAATATTATTGTTAGATTGCAAATGAAATGTCGCTGGGTAGTTTTTAAGTATTTCTAGAGACGATATAATAATGACTGTAATTACACAAATTAGTATACATACACTGTAGGTCTACTTGTTTACTTATGGAAGTCTTATTGTTACGTTTTTAGTGATATAAAATCACCAAATCTATAACCGTCTTTTTACGCGATTTACATGACACGGACCTTTTGGATCGGATGAAAAGTCTTTGCAGTTTAAGGCCCTGGACAGCCGGTGTATATGATGTGTATATCCAAAATAATCAATAGACAGCGCAACTCGGTTAGATTCCAACTTCCAGAAGCTATACTTATTTTTGGGCTTAAACGACTATGCTCAAAAGGAATCAGTAGGTAATCTACGGCTATCATGATAACTAATGGTGGATAATATTAAGGACTGAAAAATTAACCATAGACATGTAAAGCAGAATAACTAGTTAGAGAGGGCGAGACTCTAATTTACGGACGAGCCAATCAGAAGCGTTTGAAGAATTTCAGGGTTACGGAGCCAACTTCAGTCCTTAATGCTAACGTACGATGGGTTCACATGGAATTTTGTACAAAACGTGATAATTTAGCGGCTATAATAAATAAAACGGCAAGACTATGATTGGTGGACGAACCAACCAGGTATAAGATAACAGATCTTGGATTTCGGTGTGGAAGTCTTTCATCCATTTGCCTAAATAGATTTCTGGCATTATAGCTGATGTCAGTTCGTGATGAAAATCCCATATACGATTCCTGAAGCAAATTATGACAATTATCGCGGAATGGATAATAAAAGCACCAGTAACACTGACTTGAGCCGGGTACTACAATATATACGGATGTTTAGAGAGCGTACAGACTCCTACATAGGCCTGGTTATGTGCATCGTGTCGTTATCCACAGGTGGCATTTTGTGTACTCAACAACTGAAGTGCACATAAACAATATTGAACTATGTGGTCGAAGCTGAGAGTTTTTGAGACTTTATCATGACTCAAGAGGCGGACTTTTCTGTAGCCGTATGGGTGGTTTCCTCTACTGCATGGATTACGATTTTAGAACCTCTGAACCTCTTTCTAACCTTGCCAAGTTTTTGAACCACGTATAGGAAGTGCATCCATTTTATTTCCTTGGTTTTGTATAATATATTTTCACTCTACACTTACTGTTTGCTGATTGGCTAACATTCCCAAAGTCACTTAAAATTCGTTCAAAGGTCGTCCATAAATTAGTCTCGCCATTTCCCCAAAATCGAGAGATTGGGTGCTTAAGTTTTCACATCCGAAGTGACTGAAAACTGAGTTAAGTATTACTTGGTGTGCCTTCAAACTATTGATTAGCCATCACGAATAGACCTTGAGGACATTTCTTAGAAGGAACAAATTGCATTGCCTGAAAAAAACAAACCAGATACTTTCAAACCAGTTTCTGACCTTGTTGAGGACGTATCAAATATTATCGATATTGTTGATATTCAATTACAAAGTTGGTAGATAGAGATTATCAAAAGAGTGAATCAGTTGAGTTGTGCTAATCCACAGAGTATTTTTTCCAAATGGTAACGCAGTTTCATGCTGGAAGTGTTTGTCGATTATGCATATACTATTCGTTCTGACATTGTATTGTAGTCAGTTTGGAAAGGACAGTAGGCTTGATGGCTTGTGTTAGTCCTGAAAATGATGGTCTCTCGGTCGATCCAACTTTCTTTTGAAAGAGTTGATGGGTGGAAACTCCATCACGTGCTGAGGTAATGAATTCCACTCGTTGATGATTCTATAGGAAAGTCGATAATCAGCTTGTGAACGTTTTTGGAATGTCCTCGTAAATTCTCTGTTTAGAAGACAAGAAAAATGGGGGTATATCAGGTGCAAATTTATCACTAAGCAATTTGAAAACTGTGGTCAAGTCGCCTCCATTTCTTCGACATGACAACGGGAATAGGTTTAGCGTGGCCAGTCGAACATCATACGGGAGCTTCGCGGATCCGAGAATTAGCTTAGTTGCCGTTCGTCGAACCTTTTCCGAAGGCTCACTGTCTTTTTTAGGCAGAGGCTAGCCGCTTGTATGCAGTACTCAAGTTAAGGACGCACGAACACTGTATACAAAGTCAAATACGTTATAGCATCGACGTGACTAAGGGCCCTACGTTTTGACCATTAAGCCCCAAAACCTTTGGCGGCTATTGCGAGGCAGTGTGCAGTAGTCTTTAAGTCTTGGCTAACGTTAACACCCAAGTCATTGTGTGTCAAGACGACAGGTAGCTCAGTGTTATTCATCGTGTATCATTTTGGAGTTCTAAGCTATTACCCTTACTTCGTACCAATCTCCAGATCTTGACATCGTCAGTATATAGCAAAACCGGTGATGATAGTAGACGAGGAACGCCATTAACATACAAGAGGAACAATACTGACCTTAAAACTGTGCCCTGGGGTACCCCATTAAGCACAGTTTCTCAACTAGACAACTTCGAGTTCACCCGTACTAAAGCTTCTCTACTATAATGCTTTTGCGAACTTACTGGTAGTGTGTTGTTGTTCTTGTACTGAGTTCGAATGCCGTGTAATGTTTGTAAGATTGAATCCTCGTCCGATGCTATTAAACGTATGTGGTTGATGGTAAAAAACGAAAAATGTATTCCTTAACAATTTGTTTAGGTTTCCAGTCTCCATTTTACTGCGAAAGAGTGCAATAATATATATAATCGATATATTTATCCTTAAGTTTACATGCTTAAATGTTCAAATAGGAATACATAATTATACCGCCTCTAATTCCATGTTTTAAAACGAATCTAAAATAAAATTAATCATCGGTGAGCAAATAATGAACAGATGAAGATTACTTGCACTATTCAGTTATGAAGACATTACTGGGATCCAAAATGAAGAAAAGTGTCCGCAAGTAATTAATTTTGCAGAAAAGAGGAGGGTGATTGACTAAGCGAATAAAAAACTGAGAAGTGTCACGAAGGAGAAAGGCAAACAATAAAGATCATTACATGTAAACGATTGGGCACTGAGGCGCAGCAACTGTTGAGGGTTTCCGAATGATACGATTAATTTTCAAAGCCTTCGTATGCTTTAAAGCAGATAAATTCGGATTCTATGCCTCCGCAGATCATCAGTGTTGATGATCTATGTCGAATGATTGGAGGCCTACCCAAGTTAGACGGAAATGGTGTAACGAACAAGCTAACTTAGATATCACACCTCGCGGTCAGCATCTAGCGTGGATTATCCCTTCGATGTACCATAGTACTATGTCTGCTTTGAAGACCATATAGCACACAAGATGTTATTATGGTAATATGTTGGTAAAAATGAGTACAAAGAAGGTAACGAGACCACCACCATATAAGCCAGTTCATGGCATATGACCAAGTAACCCTCGTTGGTTGTCCTTGGTCTTGACGAGGATCGATGACCTGTTTGATATTTAGTGACCCAACCGCAGGATGATTTGGCTACAGCCCAGTGACGTTTCACTGACGCTAAACTTCACTTATATAAGACCGCTTCGTGAAGCATTCCACCTGACCGCATAGTTAGTGGCTTATTAAAAGTGGTGAGATACTTGAGCTTGTTTCAAACACTAGAAGTAAATTAGTGGCAGGTCCATCAAGAATCTCCTATGGCAAGCGGTAAAGATGAAGGAATGCCTTTACCTTACCGTACACTAGACAGTAGTTGACCGTATATCAATACTCCGCATCATAAACAATAATTTACGTAATAACATATCTTCTAGCCAAACATAGAATTTAGAGCCACATATAATAACAATAATTCATTCCAAAAATTCACAGGACAGATTATTACTTTTCCCCATGGTGCTGAATTTCATCGGGATGGCATCGTAATTCACGCCGCGAACACTGAGTTGCATAATGAAAGGGATCCGAAGTGATTTAAACGATTTTATAAAACAACTGCTTCCGTAAACCCATCTCTGTGCCAACTTAATTCAGCTCTATCAAACAACTTGACAGTACCGTAGACGCCAGGAGATTTGAACCTAATATCAGTGGCTTAGCTACATCTATCCAAGTTTCATATGGATCGAAGTTATTCAGCCTTATCCCACACTCACCTGTAAATTTACACAAATGTTATCACCACTTATTGACCTGAATTGTATTATATAGTCTGTTTTAGAACGACACAAGGACACGATATGAAAATGTTTGCATTTCCCAATTATTGATGTTCTCCTCAAACCATTTTACCAACTAGGGATTCTATCCTTAATATAAACGCATTTACATTTAGGATGGTTATGGTTCTACAGAAAAATGAGAAGCCGGTAGTTTTGATTTCTAGATGATTGAACAACAATGACTATGGGAATTCCTGAAGTCAAATGGGGGTTTTGGCTCCATGACACCCACAATCGTGTGGTATAACAAAATATTTCCCTCAAACATTGAAGATTCCCATCGCGTTAGTAACCCAGGAAGGTTGATTCTTGCAGATTAGTTAGGGAGCAACAATAATAATAATTCATTCTCAAATAACAGTTTCTTACGTGAGTCATACCAGTTTACAGACAAGATCAAATTGTTACAAATGATACAATTTCTAACTGTAGTAAATTACTCAGCTGGGTTGATAATTTATAAGATATGAATGTAGATGGTTTTAGTCAGTATCGCAGTTGGCTCGCTTCATGAAAGTTGCGTTGCGACGTGCAACTGAGGGTCGATAATGGATTCATGTGCAGTTGATGGCTTACAGAAATCGCAATCTTATATCCCTTTGGAATATCTGAGGCTTTAAGGACGGTGCAGAACCAGGTCACCCGTTCAGTATCTCAACGGGGCTGAAAAATGGTGCAAGAAAAAAAAGAAAGAAAACAAAAAAGGACGAGAAGCAGAGCAGACAATGTTCATGACTACTCAGTCTGATTCTCTTTTATTAAAGTATTTAGTAAGCAGGAGCATCCTAATAAGTTAAAGAAAATAAGTGTAAACAAGGTGTGAGTGGATAAATAACTGACAAATGGAGGTGGTTCAGAAGGAAACTGAGAGTATGGGAGTATGTGTAGTTATAAAATAAAGTGTTAAAAACAGTGTTATGATACACAAATGGCTGTCTCCCTTTTTTATCGACGCTACTTGAGCCTCTTTTAGATTTTATAGGGTCTTGATAGGCTTCGTTTTTTTATAGCGAATTGTCGGCGAGACTCTAATTTAGGGCGAGCCAATCAGAAGCGTGTGAGCCGTTTCAAGGTCACGGAGACAAGTTTAACACCTGATGCTCACATTTGATCCATTTACAGCTGATTTTAGAGAACGGGTGATTATTGAGAGGCTACAAGGGATGGGATTACTAAAAAGTTCTTGTACGTGAGACTGCGGTTATCAAATGACCGCAGTAAAGTGTGCAAACCACCATGGTGAGATTATATTTCGTCGTCCTTCATGTTGGAGGAGAAAGTCTGCTAGAATGGGGACTTTCTTTGCTCGATTGCTACTGAAACTGAATCAGATTATGATAATAGTTGCAAATTGGGTAATAAATACACCAGTAACACTGGATGCGACGTTTGCTGTTGTTTATGAAACTTCAGCAGTGCAGTGGTATAAGTACTGTCGTGACATATGTGCAACTAAAATAACACTTGTACACCAATCATTCGGAGGAGTAGGATGTATCGTGCAGACAGATGAAACGGCAGTGAGAAAGTGAAAATACAACAGGGGACGTAGTATAAAGTAGGATTGTGTAAGTAGCGTTTCCGTGAATATACTCGACAGGTACTTGGAATTTATGACTTTATATACCGTATGCAATATGATTTCAAAACACCTGGAACTTTAGCAAACCTTGATAAGTTTTTAAATCATGTAAAAGAAGTATATCCACTGTAATCCATTAGTTTCTTCTAATATATTTCTACGTTATACTAGCTGCTTCTGATTGGCTAATATTCTCAAGGTCACTTAAAAATCATTCAAAGGTCGTCCCTAAATTAGAGCCTCGCCGAACTGTCTAGTTTGCTTGTAATAGGATTACTAAGTAGGAAGTGAAACATATTCAACGTTCTGAACACGATTCAATGAAGTATTTGGCATGATAAATCAGGATCAATACCGCTATTCGTGACATTCCAATAGACCATAAGGATCCGTAATTGAATAAAATGTTCTGCCCTACAGACATTCGTGGATTGAAGTTATCTCCCCGCCATCATGTTTGCTGGTCAGTATCGCCACCCTCCCTCCTTTTGTGATGTTAGACTCTCATACGTTTGTGGTAAGTATACATACTGCTTTAATCAAAGCACATGGCTGGAATACACTGTCTCTACTAGTTCCATGTTACAAGCAAATCAGACAGTTAAAGCGTTTGTATTATGGGTTAGATGTCCATTTAGTACATCACACTGCTATGAAGATAACTAATGGTGAAAGATAAAAAAACAGCTTAGAATATATGTGGTGTAAAGATAGTAGGACTAAAAGCAAATCAAATCATATGAAAGAGTATAAAATTGCAAAAATTTTTAGGGTAAGAAAAATAAAACAT